GGACGATATCCTAGTATATTCAAACGACGAGGTCCAACACATCAAAGATGTCAGCAACATTCTTGAAAGTTTAGCCAAAGCCGATTTGCTATGTAAACCAAGCAAATGTGAATTCCACGTTACAGAAACAGAGTTCCTAGGATTCACCGTGTCAAGCCAAGGGCTCAAGATGAGCAAAGATAAGGTCAAGGCAGTGCTTGAATGGAAGCAGCCAAACACCATTAAGGAAGTACAATCCTTTTTGGGATTTGTCAACTTCTACCGAAGATTTATCAAGGGTTATTCAGGAATTACTACACCCTTGACCACGTTAACCAGAAAAGATCAAGGAAGCTTCGAATGAACCGCCAAGGCGCAGGAGTCCTTCGAAACGCTCAAACAGGCAGTGGCCGAGGAGCCAATACTGTTGACATTCGACCCTGATAAGCAAATCATAGTGGAGACGGACTCCTCAGATTTCGCTATAGGGGCAGTTCTGAGCCAACCAGGTCAAAATGAGAAATAGCAACCAATCGCATTCTACTCTCGAAAGCTATCACCAGCCGAATTGAACTACGAAATATATGACAAAGAATTACTAGCAATAGTCGACGCATTTAGAGAATGGCGAGTATATTTGGAAGGATCAAAATACACAGTACAGGTGTATACGGATCATAAGAACTTGGTTTACTTCACCACAACGAAGCAGTTAAACAGACGACAGGTCAGATGGTCGGAAACCATGGCCAACTACAATTTTAAGATTTCATATGTCAAAGGATCAGAAAACGCTAGAGCCGACGCTCTTAGCCGAAAACCAGAATATCAAGAAAATAAGTCGTACGAATCGTACGCTATATTCAAGAAAGAAGGCGAATCACTGGTTTACAATGCACCACAGCTCGCAGCTACTCATATATTGGAAGACAACCATCTCAGGAGTCAAATCCAATCACATTACGACAAGGATGCTACAGCTATACGCATACGCAAGACAATAGAACCAGGATTCACGATAGAAAACGAAACCATATACTTTCATGGGAAAGTATACATTCCGAGTCAAATGACCAAGGAATTTGTGACGGAACAACATGGGTTACCGGCACACGGACATCAAGGAATTGCAAGGACGTTTGCAAGATTACGGGAAATCAGTTACTTCCCACGAATGAGAACGATAGTTGAAGAAGTTGTTGGAAATTGCGATACCTGCATACGGAATAAGTCCTCTAGACACGCTCCGTATGGTCAGCTCCAGACCCCAGACATGCCTTCTCAGCCATGGAAGTCCATTACATGGGACTTTGTGGTCAAACTACCACTCTCGAAAGACCCTACTACAGGAATCGAGTACGACGCTATACTCAACGTAGTAGACAGATTAACAAAATTCGCATACATGATACCATTCAAAGAAACATGGACTGCTGAACAACTAGCATATGTATTCTTCAGGGTCATAGTAAGCATACATGGAGTACCAGATGAGATAATCTCGGATAGAGACAAGCTCTTTACCTCGAAATTCTGGACTACCCTATTAGCACTAATGGGTATTAAAAGAAAGCTGTCGACAGCTTTCCACCCACAGACAGACGGTCAAACAGAAAGGACCAATCAGACAATGGAAGCATATCTTAGATGCTATGTAAATTATCGACAAGACAATTGGGTAGAACTATTACCTATGGCACAGTTCGCATATAACACATCGGAAACGGAAACCACAAAGATAACACCAGCACGCGCTAACTTTGGGTTTAATCCTAAAGCATATCAAACACCGACACCACAAGAAGTCAATGCCGAATCAGCAATAATACAAGTCGAACAGTTAAAAGATTTACAAGAACAGCTTGCTCTTGATCTAAGATTCATATCATCCAGAACAGCAGCGTACTACAATACGAAACGTAGTATGGAACCTACGCTTAAAGAGGGGGATAAAGTTTACTTGCTACGACGAAACATTGAAACCAAAAGACCAAGCAATAAACTCGACCACAGGAAACTAGGACCATTCAAGATTGATAAAGTAATAGGAACGGTTAACTATCGATTGAAATTACCAGACACAATGAATATTCACCCAGTATTCCATATATCCTTGCTCGAACCAGCACCACCAGGAGCGCCGAATGCGCCATTAACGGAAATCGAACCAGTCAACCCGAACGCCATATACGATGTCGAAACAATACTAGATTGTAAATACGTCAGAGGCACAATCAAATATTTAATCAAATGGTTAGATTATCCACACACCGAAAATTCATGGTAACCAAGAACAAATCTCAACTGCCCTGAGAAGTTGGAGGCGTTCCACCAGCAATACCCGGGTCTGCCCAGAAGGAGGGAGAATCCATTGAAGCAAGGATCGAAGGATCCAAAGAAGAAGGGTCGAAAACGAAGGAATTATCACTGAGACCAGCGACAGAGGCAGACGCCATTTCCTTTTCTTTTTCCACACGCTCATTCTCCAACTTTTCTCTTCCCTCTACTTCTTCCAACTCATCCATTGTTTTCAGACCTCGGCGAATCATTTCAGAGGCGCGATTGCGAAGGAAGCGCTGTTGTTTGTCCAAACGAAGGAGTTTAGATAAAGTAGCCTCGCGCTCTTGATCTAATCGTTCTTGCTCACGAATAATACTCATCATATCGCCAGCAGAGGGACCAGCTATGTCGCACTTCTGCCCACGACGAATACATTCGCTACAGCGAATAGAATTTTCCTTGGAAATTATACAACGACGAGAATGTTTGTCGCAATAAGTACACGAAGGCATAGTGATGCCACAAGCTTCAATCAGTAAAGCTAATTCAACACGTTCTTTATACTTTCGGGATCGAATAGGTGGCATAATGAGAAGGAAAAGGAACAAAAGCCATATAGGAGGCTATAATCCCAAGTGGGGTAAATTAGTACTATATAACGCTTGGGGGCAAGCGCTAGGATAGGAAGGGGATAGTGTTACGCCGGTCCATCCTCGGTACCGCGTCACATGACTCTTAGCACGTGATGGACCCTGCATGACAGGCATAACGGAATGTAGGTCCATACAGACCAAAGGTCCAGGACCTCTCTAGGTCCTGAACGCTCCAGTACAATACGAAGGTCTATATAAGGGAATGGGATTTCATTACAATGTAGAGCTTCGTGCTCAAGAACAATCATTAGTTTCATTACTATAGTTACGAGAATTGCAACCAGTTACCAACCTTATTGAATTCCTACTTGAAGTTTAGTCTAAACCACCTCGAGAGAACTCTAGACACTTCCACGTGACCCTAGAGGCAGCTCCCGTAACAATTATATATAAAGAGAAGAGAATATTAGAATTATATTTATTATATAATATAATTCATTAATATATAAGCTATATTACTATATAAGCTACTTTATTTTATATATAATTATATACTTTCTTTATTAACTAATAGAATTACTTTAAGATTTCTTACATATATAAACTCTAATTTTTATTTATCTTAAAAATCTAATTCTTTTTCAAAAATTTCAATTATTATTAGTAAATTATTAAAGAAAAGAAGTTTTTATAATATAAAGTATAACAATTTCGAGTTAAAATAAATCATTTAAAAAAAGCTTAAATATTACAAAAAAAAATTATTATGATTTTTTTAGATTTTTAAAAAAAATAATGATTAATTATTAAAATATAAATATTAAGAAAACCTTGATTTTGATGTATTTTTTAAGTAGCTTATAAAGTAATATGATCTATATACTAATGAACTACGTTAATACGATATTATATGATTAACGATCTAATAATTAGATTTACTGATAGATAGTGTTGAATGGGATCCGGTTCATAGATTTCATAGATTTCAATAGGATAGAGAGGATTTTCGATGGGATGGGATGGGATGTGGATTGATGTAATGTGATGTGATAAAAGAGAGGGATTCGGGGTTGAATTGTAGGTTTTTGTTTTGGATTTTTAGACTTTGGGAAATCGGATGGAAGGATGTTGATGTTTATATTAATGTTAATATTTATATTGATGAATGAATGGATGGATGAATGAATGAATAAATGAATAAATGAATAAATGAATAAATGAATAAATGAATAAATGAATAAATGAATAAATGAATAAATGAATAAATGAATAAATGAATAGATAGATGAATAAATAAATAACTAAATAAATGATCACATAAATAAGTAAATAAATGAATAAATTATATTAGATATATATACTCAATATACTCAATATACTCAATATACTCAAAATCTCCTCTCCTAGTCATCAATTCCGCAAACAAATCTAAATGTAAATACTAAACCATTTATCTATTAGGTGATTGGAGTTGAGAAGCGGGAAGGTGGGAAAGGAGTTAGGGGTTAGGACCTATCAAAGGTACATAGAATCACAGATCGATATGAACAGGACTGGCGGGTGTGTGTTTTGATGAGAGGCATGAGATACCTAATTATACGAAGATACTACTACAACCCCAATCCCAGGTAGAAACCCCTCAAAGTTAAAACTCAGAATACTACAGGTAATTTATATAAGATGAGATGAGATGAGATATTTTCAATCTGCTGCAGATATATAGCTGTCTACCTACCCACCTACCTATCTAACTACCTACCAACGTCCATTGCACCTCCTATTCTCCAATCTAAATATAGATAGATGGACCACTGGAGCAGCTAGTACGATATTGATACTGAAATCGACATTGAAATCGATACTGAAATCAAAATTAACGTAGGCAGACTCCCTTAATCCAACCAACCAACCAACTGAATCCAGCCAGCCAGCTACAACAACTATCAAGACACAAGCGGAACAGAAACATCCCCGAGTACCTATATACCAACGGGAAGCAAAAAATTAGCTCTCGATTCGTTCCCTGGATTCTCTATTCAGAAGCATTAACTTTACAGTAATCCATTACCAAAGTATCCCTCTCCTCATGTTCACCTCGTCATCTCACATAATCAATCATAAGATAATTGCATACAAAACACGTTTTTAATAAGTATTTGTCATTATTCTCCTATCTGTTTTGATTCCCTTCTCCAGGTATTTGACCGTATCCCTCAAATTCAAGCACGAAACTCAAATCAAAGCTCAAACACAAGCCATTTGCACAACCTATATGTTGTTCACCCACGCGCTGTGCAATAAGCAGCTTCAAAGTACTTTCCATATCTATAATGGTATTATAACGTAGTGCATCTTCCATGATATAATGAAATTATGTGCACTGAAGGAAAACTTAAGTAATAGCATGGGATCTCCCCTCAAAAGAAGAGCTATTCTCCTCTAATGGACCTCGCGCCTTTTTAATACATTGGTGGATGGCAAAAGAAAAATACAAGAATGACGAAACAAAGGCCAAAATTATCGCCATGATTCCTCCCTAAACACACCATAGAATAGCTCAGGCTCAATTAGAAGAAGACACAGCCTCTAATCTGATTCTTTTCGCGAAAGGATTCGTCAGAAGAAGTGACATAAAGCTGATGACCTATAATGGCCAAAGGCTCCTCTTCGTCGTGCATCTTGATTTCAAGACTCAAGTAAGGTGAAGTGACAAAGCTGGTTCGTGGATGGCTTCAAAATCAAACGTGCTGACCCGACGCTGTCAAACAACTAGATGAAGACCATGCCCATAAGTATAAATTGCAGGTCCAATGAGCATTACTAATGTAAATCAAGTATTCCGTAATCGCTATGCAATTTCTGTCTCGAGAGCAGTAGTGAGGTCAGCCTCCAATTCTGCTTCAAACTCGGCATCGAAATCAGCCTCGAAATCAGCATCCACAGTGTTTTCAACCCCAGTCTCTTGCTCAGCTGCTGGTGTCTCATTGAAACTTTCTTGTGATTGACCTTTCTCTTCATCATGATCACTTTCATCATCCAAAACGATCGTCTCAATATGCTTTGGTGGTTGCATCCATGCCTTGGGTTGTGTTCCAAGTGCCGCTCTCAAGGCATTTTGGGTTGCCTTCGAATAGTTCAATGGTGTGTGATCTCGAGTCTTCTTGGTAGGTGGTGGTAATGAAGCCCATCTGGATTCCGTATTTTGTTGAACATCTTCATCATCAACAGGGAGAGTAGGCAGCGACTGACGACGGACAGAATCAACCCAGACGGTTGAAGTTTTTTCTGTCTGGTTGACGTTATTCACGGTATGATCCATAGGCCCAGGACGCTGAAATTCCGGCGGGGCCGGGAAAGGAGCACCGAAAGGACCAAGTTGTTCAAAGTTCCATGATGCAACGGCTGTATCATCATTAAGATATTGTCGATTCAGCTCATGAACCTTAGCTTTGCATTTAGAACATCTTTCGCGTCTTTTCCAAACTTTTTTGGTCAGGTAGAATTCCTTCTGGACATTATTACAGGGTTGACCATGCTCCTTGTTGAAATTCCTACACACCCACGATCTGTCGTGTTGAGGATTTGCTCTGAGTTGTGTAAGAAGACCCATTGCTCTGGTTTGCAAGGCTTCTTGAGCGGTGGCATTATCTTGAAGCTCAGTGAGCATGCTTTTCAAGGCGTTTTCTCTTTGAGACGCTTGTAGTCTTTCGTTGATGATCTTTTGCTTCAATTCCTCAACTTCCATACTTCGTGCTATTATGAATATTAGCGAATATTCCATGAGGTGAACAGCTGTTGAACTTACAGGGAAAAACAATGTTAAAAGCGTTTCTGAGATCAGCGTCCATTCTAATCTTGTTTTCAAACTTTTCCATAACTTCCCTAAGCTGAGGTGGAATAGAGCTCCTATCTAAACTTTGTGGCAAGATCTTCTGGGCAGCGCCACCGGAGCTTGTTGGCCTAGATGGTAGAAAAAGTCTGCTGCCTTGCTCCGTGGCTTGTTGTAAAGCTTGAATTGAGTCTCGTGAGCCAGGTGTAGCTTGTTGGTTGAACGAACGTCGAAATGGCGTGAAACCAAGGTTTTGTGGAGGAAATGCAGTAAATGGTCTTCTCTGAGCATGCGGCTGATTTGGTGAAACTTGATGACTGTAGCTATCCGATGCAGCTCGCATTTGTGATTTTTGCGGGCTTGGTATAAAGATGGATCCTAATGGAACGCCAGTAACTCCACAAGGTTGCTGCGGACCTATTTGGTGAGATTCTGGAATAGATAGCATATGAGTTGCGGAAGGGGTTTGAATAATTTCTGGTGCAGTGACAATTGTGCTTGTGATTGGTTGCGAAAGGTGACTGTAATTGCTAGCAGAGGAAGCCGAATTTGTGGCCGGTACCGTTTGGATGTCTGTAGCATGGCCATTGGAAGATGTGGTGGGGCCGTCCTTGTCAAAAGAATTTTGCAATCCAGATGGAGGTGCCTGGGAAAGAATCGATTCTTGTCCAATTGCTTGCTGGAATACTTCACTTGTGGCGCTAGGGGCATTTGACGGTGATGTTGATTCTGTCGTCTTTCGGATGGGCATGGCCTGTTGAGAGAAAACGGATAGGGACTCAGTGATTGGACTAGCAACTTCTTGAGTAGCTGACTCAAAAGGTGAAGACTTAGTAATTGAGTCTGAATTGAACTTTCTTCTCTTGTGTACTGGCGGTTCGACATAATTGTCAGGACATTTTGGACCGCTATTGTAAAGATCATCGAGATTTCCAGTTTCGTTCCAAAGAGAATATTGGTTCAATGAGTTATCCTGGAGGTTATTCTCTTCCATGGAAAAAGAGCCCCATAATGAATAATCATCTTGGAAGCCAAGGGAGTTCTGGTCATTGTACTGCTCAAAGGAAGGAGGTGTAAGTCCAATGAGGTTGTTTTGAGAGGGAACATGAGAATTCTCAGGAGCATAATTACCTCCGATTCTACCAAAGTTATCCTGAACCACACCCATTTCAGATGTGTCCTCCATCTTGAGATATCTTGAGGTCTCTTCGCTGTAATCCTTCTAATAACTGCCTTGAGCCACAATAATATATTCCACCATAAGATTTCGATCGCTTGAACAGAAATGCTTCTGACACTGTGCCTCTGAAAGATTGATCGCAAGCAATCTCAATGAACAGATTCTGAAGACAAAACTTTGTCGAAAGCGGCTCGTGATTGTAGCTCGTGTTGAATCCAAGGACCCAGTTGGGAAGTTTGTACAAATGTATGTTTGGCTTGGTAGCCTAGAGAGTTTTCAACCTCACAACTTCAAAGTTTACTCAGCTATACTTCTTCTCAAGGCATAAAAGGGCATTTAATGAAGTCTAGCTTTGTGGAGTTTGAAGTTATATAATTGAGAAAACTTTTAGGAGATTAATGGTGGGAAATATCTCTCATATATGAATGTATGAAAGTGAACACAATCTGTTAGGTGAGAAGCTGACTTTTGGCTTCAAAAAGTTCTGGTCAAGTTGTCACGTGAGACTGATGTGTAATTGGCCCGAGCTTTTTTGGTGGAGAATTTTACCTAGTGCCCTTTTTGTGTGTCCTCTCACGCCTCTGTAAGCTCAAGGCAAGCTCAGACAAGGCCATTACAGCTGCTGGAAAGCTGCAAGGCTGATCAAATGGTATCATCTCGGAATAATTAGTTCCGACCAACTCAATGTAGAAGGCGGTCGACTAGTTTCCAGCCGAAGGAGCGCTCCTAACCATCACTATCAATATCGTGGTTGAATACCTGTAGAACTTTATATATATTTGCCTTTACAACTCACTCTGCCAGGAAGGTGCAATTGCCAATTGATAACCACTATTCACACTTCTTGCCTTTCTTGGTCGTCTCTTGTTGATTCATTCAATTTGTATTGGGAAGGAATAGACAATGTCCGTTATTCTGTGTACTGGTAAGTAACGTTTTTTCTCCCAACAGCGTACTACAAGCTTCAGATAAATTGGTTTCTTTACCATCGCTTGGGGTGAAGTTTATTTTCGTCTTCACTCTTCATTTGCATCGTATCTTCTTTCTTTCATGGGCATATTCCATTGCAGACCTCAGATGGCATATCAGCCCGTTCTCGTTCACGGACAAGGAGACACTGTTAACATTCTTTGCGTTCTTGTTACAGCTGGCTACGACCATACAATCAGGTACGAATTACTTCTAGTCTTATGTGTCGTTCAGAACGATATGGATTACTGATGTTCTACAATTCTTAGATTTTGGGAGGCCCTCTCTGGTATCTGTTCTCGAACAATTCAACACCCTGATTCTCAAGTCAATCGATTATGTATATCCCCAGATAAGCGTTTCTTAGCTGCGGCTGGCCATCATACTGTCAAACTTTATGACATTAAGTCAACCAACCCAAATCCGCTTCTCACATTCGAGGGACATACAGGAAATATCACAGGCGTCGCGTTCCATTGCGAAGGAAAATGGATGGTTACAAGCTCTGAGGATGGCACAGTTAAAATCTGGGAGACGCGAAGTGGTACCGTCCAAAGAAGTTATAGTCATGGCTGCCCAGTCAATGATGTAGTGATTCATCCCAATCAAGGTGAAATCATCAGTTGTGATCGCGGAGGTAGTGTTCGTATTTGGGATCTTGCAGAAAATAACTGTTCCCATCAACTTATTCCAGAGGAAGATGTACCTGTTTCCAGCGTCACTGTCGCAACTGATGGATCAACCTTGTGTGCTGGTACTAATTCGGTAAGAGCATGCGCGCGAGATGCATCAGACTTTTATTAATTCCTACTCAGGGCAGCGTCTACGTTTGGCAGCTTCTTCAATTCCGCGAAAAGACTCAACTTATGCCGATCACTCACTTCAAAGCTCACAACCAGTACATCACTAGAGTTCTTCTCTCTCCGGATGTTAAGAAACTCGCAACATGTAGTGCCGACCATACGGCCAAGATTTGGGAGGTAGACTTTACTGCCCTAGCTCCTAATCCAAACCAGCCTCAAACTGAAGCAAGAGCATTCAATCTCGAATCAACCTTGACCGGTCATCAAAGATGGGTCTGGGATTGCGCTTTTAGTGCCGATTCGGCCTACCTTGTTACTGCCTGCTCAGATCATTATGCTCGTCTTTGGGAGTTGCACAGTCAGTCAGTAATCAGACAATACAATGGTCATCATCGCGGTACATCTACATTACTTCAAACATATCCCATAATGCCCTTCTGACCTAATATCTACTATAGGACTCGTTTGCGTTGCTTTGAACGATTATTCCGAAGCTCGTTAAAACACGTATGTGCTCGCGTGCATTGATTTAGACGTTCCACTTTCAACCGGTTGCGGAGTTATAGGATTATCCACGTTGCATATCCAGGAAGATTTTATTGGGTCGTCCCTACTGACTATTTAGTCTATCCACTTGGTGGTAATTCTATGCACGGCTTTGGCGTATGTAGGTATGGGCTGGGTTAGCATGGCGTTGTGACACAATGGTGGTGATTCACACGGCGTTGTGTATATCATGGATGGATGGCTAACGTTCAATGATAAGTCATCAATTTGATGACCATTTTATCAAATTTTATTAATAGTTGCAAAGCGAGTATTGTTCCTTCTTCAGCGATTACAACCTAGTCTATCGTCAATCACCAAGATTCTCCAAAGTAATCTTCGCAAGCTCCCACAAGTCATGCTCCAATCCCTCATTAATCGACTCCACAGTTCTCCCCTCATTTACCTTGACCCGGTCATAATATCCACCACCCTTCACGCCATATCTTCGTCTAGGGTTCCTCCAGTGAGTATCTTCACTTCACTCCATCCACGTAATTCGATCCAATCAGACGACAACTTCATATTCATATCAACTAGATACACAGCTACAATCATTATATCTGGACATCGTTTCGCTCGTGATTATTTGTGCATTATATTCGCTGAATCGTTTGAATAGAAGGAGATCGGCGTCAAAAGGCGGATTAAAGTATTTCGTTTATTCCTGGGGTAATTTCAGAACAGAGAGATCGATTTTGCCGCGAGCATGGAGGTAAAGATCAAATGATGTGGTTGTTATACATATGGAGTCGGAAAGTTGGGAAGCGAAGCGGAGAGAGAGAAGAATTTTGACAGGGTGTAGTTGTGGCTGGTTTCAAAGTGGATTTCATAGCTATTGTCTGTGAAGTTAGGCGATCACTATGAATGCTGTGTTTATGGAGAGAGTATCAATATGGGGAGCTAGAGAGTGGGAAGGTTCTGGGGGGGGTAAAAGGAGGAGTTTTGTAGAGACGAGGTTAGGGGGGTGGATATTAATATGAAGTATTATGACTGTGAGCTAGCAAGCTATATATGTACATCTTGACAAGAAAGAGTTAATAGTTTAGTATATCTTTATCAAGTCAAAAGAGTATATACCTTGGATCAAGCTTAATCAACATGTAATAGTGAAAAGTTTTCAATCTCACCGAAGGTTTGATAGATTGTATACAGCATGCGCTTCGATTGTGAAGAGGCTTTAGGATACGGGACTAGAAGCGACACCAGCCGAAGTCAAGATCCATAGATGACTATAGACTTGGCTAAAAGTGAATTGCCATACCGATGCCAGGATTCACTCCTATTTCACATGATTTGTTAACCAATCATTATCTCTAAGGTAAAGCTTTTGTTGCACATCTGCAAGAGCTCGGTTTTGTTACCGACTATTTTCTCGTATCTAAAGTTCAGGTTTGTACCAAGGTTCAACCTTTGAGCAATGAATGGAAGGGATGAAAGTGCGGACAACATCGAACCTAACCGATCCAGTCACGTGAAAGTCACGATTTAATGTGAAAGGCCGAAAATCCAATACTGCGAAGTAATAAATGCCATTCCTAAGCTCAGAGAAAAACGCAAAAGCTGTCGAAAAGTTCCTGATCAATCGATCAATTCTCAAGCAAAGTGGTGTTGTGGTAGAAGAAATATTCTGTGTAGATCCTACTGCCTCCAACTTCATGATTTCTTTCACTCACCAACCACAACTACTATCGCATTGCAAAATGGCGTCACAAAATAATGCTTCACATGCAGAAGTATGGGATGATTCCACGCTTGTAGACTCGTGGAATCAAGCTCTACAAGAATATGAGGCAAGAATTTACACGCGGTTATGTGAACTTTGCTAATGCCAAAATAGAAATATCATAGTATCCATGCTCGAGGAGAGAAAGTTGAGGATGTTTTGAACGCCTTCGGTAAGCAAAGCGATGGATTGCAAGTTTGTCTTTCCCCGACCACTATGGTATTGCTAACTTTCGTAGGGATGGGGAGATGAATGAGGATAGCGGAGAAGTTGTTGAAGAACCGCTGGAAGAAAATATTGTCATGCAGAGCGAGTTTGAGCAAATCGATGACCACACCCAAGCAGGACCTAAAGTAAGCATTGAAAAGATCTACCAACATACATTTTGACTTATTCTTGTCCATCTTTAGAGTAATGACAAACCCGCACCAAAAGCGACCAAATCTGGTTCTTCTTCTTCTTCAAAAGCTCCAATACTACCACCGCAGTTAATTGGTCAAGGTAAGACGTGCAAATATTTTCATGATATACGTAAGATCCAAGCTGACGTGGAATTCTCATACAGTTCACGATGAAAATCTCAAGAATTTATTGATGTCGTGGTACTATGCTGGCTACTATACTGGATTGTATGAAGGCCAGCAGCAAAAGCAAGGTCCAAGTAAGGGTACATGAGAAGTATAAGGCATAGGATGAATCCTTTATGAGGGAACTATTATCACTACTGCGACTATCTGTGACATGGATAGTTTGAACCATCTGATCTTATTCAAGCCGGATCATTGAGATTGGGATGAAGTCCGAGCTGTGCCATGTTGTGCCGTTGTGGCAGATATCATATCCGTCGAAAGTATATGAGGGATGATCTCATGTTTAGCTTGTACTTCATGGAAAAACCAATGTTACAGAAGGTATAAAAAATGTGTATTATGGTTTCATGATTGATAATGGGTACCTTTCATCATTGCGCCTTCACCTAAGTTTCTTTACTCTTCTCACAATTATATCCCCCGAGGAGTTCATCATTATGCTTATGACTAGATGTGGAATTGGGGGACTTCATGAGCTCTTGCTAGTGTGTTTATGATATGGACGATAATGAACTCCTCAAATTGACAATGTATGGCGTAGTCCACCGCCGCATCCATTCTCAATAGGATTCTACAGAAGACATTACTGAATGTGGGCATGCGATGAAACGGTCACTTTCATCTCCACCCCTAGCATATCCAACCTCCAAAATCTTCAAGGTGACGAAATGTCCATCAATTCACGATCTTTTCCCGCCCTTCCATCAATTATCAGATAAATTTTCCCCTTCTTTTCATCCCCAAATCTAACGTTAGAGACATTGGTCTTTTTCATGGATTTCAACATTAAAGTTTATCTATAACTATCCAGTCTCCCGTCGTCCCATTATGACAGCTGAGACGAATCTGGCACGCGTCCCAGGAGGTCAAAACAGTAAATGTTAGGGCTGGACCGGGGTAAACTATTCTCATCGGGCAAAGATTGGAGTTCGATATAGGCTCTCCTATAGCCTGTACATACAATCTTCGGTAACCTTTGGCGTTAACATACAGGGATGAAAGATCTATGATTATCTAGTGTTTAGACTTGGCACAATGACAAGGGTTTTCATCACATCTTCATCCAAACCTCGTTTCTAAAACGTTGGATCTTTGCTTACAACCTTGAGTTAAGGTCTTTAGTGGTACTTTTTGCTTCTATCATGGCAGTTTGATTGAATTAGATCCGGACGAGTAGGTCTCCGAGTGGTACGATAAATCCTGGAGGCTTTTCTCCTCCGTTCATTGAGTCGTTTCGATCATGGATATTCGAAGCAAGTGCTTTTCATTCTGTCTTTGAGTCCTGGTATTGCACTTCTTATGGTTGAATTTATACCAAGACCTTCCCCCAAAAACTGATGCATTGTTTTTCGACATTCTATCATTCATGAACTTGTGAACACTTTCATTTGCCTTCTCTACTTTCTTTATTAATTACTATCACGAGCAGGCCCTCGACAGCTGGCTACTTTACCACTCAAATTAACTCACAATCATTGCACAAGCCAAGACAACTTTGATAGTTTAATTCCTCTCCGCAGCGCGGCTTACATATCATTCTTTCTTATTCATCTTATATCTATACGGCATTCAGTCCTTATATCCTAATATATCCATCATGAGATTCTCAGTAATCGCAGCATTGTGTGCAGCACCATTGGTATTAGCCAGTAATCTTCAACATGACTTGGCTGGACGGGGAATAATTACACCGGAATTTGCTGAGAGATCGTCTGAGCTCGTTGGCAATAAGAAGGAGATCACCATTATACAAGCGAAGAGTGAAGATATCATTATTATCTGGACCAACGATGGCAATGGAGCTGCAACTAAAACAGTTACCGAGACGAAGACTGTCGCCCAAGTAGCTGGCGCAACAGTAGCGCCAGCAGCACAGGCAACCCATACCGTTGTAGTGGGAGGCGCCGCTGGAAAGGTATATACACCTGAGACGGTCAACGCTGCTATAGGGGATATGATCGTGTTCAATTTCGAAATGGCAAATCACACACTCACACAATCAGCTTTCACAACACCTTGTGAAAAGTTGGCTAGCGGTGGAATGGACAGTGGCTTCGTGCCCAATGTTAATAATACCATCAGTCCACCCCCAGCAATGGCTATGCAAGTTATGGTTGATACTCCTCAATGTTAGTACACCACGGACGTCATTCAATCACGAACAACACTAACATGAGTACAGGGTTTTACTGTCGTCAAGCCGGTCACTGCGGTTCAGGAATGGTTTTCAGTATCAATCCCACTGCCGACAAAACTCAAGCACAGTTCAAAGCAATGGCTGTTGCACAAAATGGTACTGGAACACAGAGTGCCATTCAAGGAGGATCCTCTGCTGGCGGAGCCAGCAGTGGAACATCTTCAAGTGCTGTTGCTTCGGCTGGCGCGGCAGTTTCTACCGCGTCAGTCGCTCCTGGGACTGGGACAGTTGGTGCTGATGGAACTTGCTCATGCAGTTGTCTTTGTGGACAAGCTGCCTTCCCAAATGCTGCCGTACAGGGAGTTGGAATGTTTGGTGGGGTTTCTGGTTAGTATTTCTCTTTTCATGATTATTCATTCTCATTGCTTGAATCTAATATTTATGCAGGTGCTATGTCCATGTCTTTACTAGAAAAGTAAATGAATGAATGAGGGATGAAATCATCACCTGTTCTTCTTTTCCTTCTCAGTATAGATTGACTACACGCATAATGTTAGAATGGGGAAAATATGAGTTTGCTTTTTATGATATGATGGAAAGAGCAGTCGCCCATAAGAGGCTTGACGCTTAGGATATGAATATGGGAAAACTTCATGTATATGACTGGATCGTATGTAGGCTTGGAGTCTTTAGATGTGTGTGAGATGTCTTAATAATAGTTTTTTTATATAATGCTCTACCGTAAAGGAATGAATAACATATAAAGTTGTTTATCAACAGCATTATCTACATAATCCATACATACAGAATGTTTTCATCGAACCTTTTGACCACCATCTCATCGACAGAAAAGTATTGATTTCAAATTTCAAATTTCACGTGCACTTTTCCAGTGTAAGATCACCTCCCCACTCACTTATTAAACTCTAAGGTTAATTAACTCAAATTTTAAAATCTGGGTCCTTTTTTACTTGAAGTTCATACGAGGCAATTCATTATACAATTTCTATCTATCATGTCACCTTATTATTCTCCAGTACCTATGGCCCAGTATTGGTAAGTAGGTAGTCAAAACAAAGCAATAATCCATCCATGAAATAAATGAAATAACTTCCCCCCCAAACCCCCCAATACATACAAAATCCATCCATCCAAAAACCCCCCATTAATTCCCCCATCACAGCCTATGAAACCCCCCCAACCTCCGGTACCTGACACTAAAGCACCTGTAGCTCAACTCTAAAATTAGCGCTGCATGTCCCCCGAATTTCAATCCTTCCCCGCCAAGCAGGCCAAGCCCCACCAAACCCCATTCAGCAGATTCGTACCAGAACAGGAGGAATGACGGGCGACTTTCATTTCTTTTACGAATTGGGGGTTTGAAACACTCACTTACACCTTTATATCTACGAAGTACATACCTTTTTCAAGGAAATTTGATTCTGTTGATTTCGTTGCGTAGTGTCGCTGTCCTCTCTTTTATTCATCGATCGAGTTGTTGTAAAGGTTTCATACATACATATTCTTTTAGTTATTGAGTTCTTTTATTGAAATTTACTGTCGCAAGCACAATTACAGTCTCAAACGTCAAATCCATACATACGATCTTCGCGCAAGATTCCAAACCCAAATCCAACCTCAACACCATTCCAATCAACCAAACCCCCACCACCAACCAACCGCAAAAATGCAAACCCCAACCCTCCTCACCATCTCTCTCCTCTTCCTCTCCACCGCCCGCTCCGTAACCGCCACTCCTCCCGCCTGTCTCCTCGCAGCCATCAACGTCCAATCCGATCCCTCCGATCTCAAGGCCCTGTGCGGAACATTGGAACATGCGGTCACGGGAAATATCACGGATAAATGTGAGGGGGATAGTTACAAGGAGGCTGTGAGCTCTTATCAGGCTACTTGTTTTGAGGGCGCGGGGGTGAATATCAGTGAGTTTTTTTGTGTTTGTTTGCTTTTGAGAGTTGTGTTTTGCAAGGGGGAAAGGACGGGAGAGAAGAGGGGAGGATAGGTTCTACAGGCACAGCTTGGGGTTCTTGTTAATAGGAGAGATGAGAGGAAATAAAAGGTCCAAAATTAACCAAACTCCAGCAATCACATCTTCCTCCGCCTCCGCCACAGGCACAAACACAGCATCTATCTCTGGCTCTACCTCCGCCTCCGCAACCGCAACCGCAACAGGAAGCGGCGCAAAAGCTACCGGAACCGCCTCCGCAACTGGATCGAGCGGATCGAGCGCTAGTGCGACGGGAAGTACTGCGGGTGCGAGCGCGGCTACGGCGACGGGTGCTGCGGGTGCTTTGGTTGTTCCGGGATTGTTGGGAGTTGTGGGATTAGTTGGTGCGGTTTTCTTTTAGGGGAGGGAGGGTGATTGTATATGGGGAGGGGAGGGGAAATGTAGCCTGGTGCTAGATAAGATGTGAGAGGATAGTTTGAGGGAGAATGATACGGTCTCAGAGGTGGAAGATGAATTTGTGCATATTTCAGAGATACCAGGATGTTTTCTTTTCAATTACAGTTTAGTGGAGCGAAGTTTGAGATGCATGGATAGTTCAATAAATCGAAGATGTTCAATTGTGCTTTGTTGGTTTGTTTTATGAGTTTCTTTCTTGGTATTATACGTCATGTTATATCATGTCATATCTTCAGTGTTGAGGAGATTTGAGGAGTTGATTTACTCGCTAGAGTTTGCGCTTGAGAACAATATTTCGTTTCGTTTCGTTTCGTTTCGTTTTATTATTCCAGATAATTTTCCTAGCGTCATATCATTTTGCGAGAGGCTACTCAATAGATACTCTGGAAAAGTTTCTGCGTGTCTACGTATCATCTGCATGTCTACTCTTCTTGACTTTGGGTTTGCTATTCTATTAGGTATTTAATTAGATATTTTATTAAATATTCTATACTATTCTATACTATTCTATTCCCTCCCATATTGAAAATCAAGTAGTATACTTCTCAGTCTAATAGGAGTTGATATGGATTAATATATGTGTATATATTTATATCTGATCTCAACTTTGAAGTTACCCCCCCCCCTTGAATTTCAATTTCAAAATCTTGGTAATGTTTTTCATTTAGTTTATGTAGTTTATGTAGTTCACATAGTCTATCTAATCGATCAGTTCAGCATTTGTAGCTTGGAGGATTGAAGACTTGAACTTCCATTTGCTAGTCGAGGTTCTTCTTGAAGTTGATGTGTTGTACTCTTGGTGCTAGGTTGCTGCTGGCTGCTGGCTATTATGACTGTTATGTTTGTTATGGTTATTATAGTATTTTATATCCTATGCTTAGGTTCCATTTTTTGCTCGGGCTGGCTTGTTTGGTTTTGTATGTAGAAATGTGGTTGTGTGTGGTTGTATACACCTAGGTATGAATTTACAGATAATCTTATTTCTTCAAATTTGTATCTACTAACTGACCAACTCACTCACTCACTCACTCACTCACTAAATACTCAGATAACAAGGTATCCAAATATCGAAACGAAGTATCTGACTCTCTGACTCTGCAAGTACCAGAGCAAGATGAAGGGTTGGGGATGTTGATGTGAATGTAGATATGGATGTGGATGTGGTATTGATATGGTATTGATGTGAGTATGAATATGTAGATATTATGATTGTATACCTGATTATCATTTTTCCTCTATCCATGATCTATTCTTCGACCATCCATCCATCATCTATTCAACATCTACCCCTTTCATCCACACGTGAGATCTAAATAAGTATGAACGTTACAATGACTATGTATATTCCCCTCCCCTCCCCTCTCCTCTCCCCTCTGCTTACCCCATACCAATCCTCAATCTTCAACGATGACAACTCGTTGACTCCTTGATACCATCTACCTGAAATCCAGTAAACTTCCTTCTCATTAACGTCTCATATTGATGTCTCTTTTTGGTCCCCTCTAGTTTTATCTTGATTATTTTCTTCTATTCGTATCTGTATCTGTATCTGTATCTGTATCTGTATCTGTATCTGTATCTGCAATCTTCGCGGTTGTATTTACAGGATTAGACTGTCGTATAGAATGCTGTTGTATGAATATCAATTCTTTCTCTTAAAGTTGATTTATAGAGAGGTAAGTTGTGAGTTGCTGGGAGGTATACTAACTGAACTTCATTCCACTTGTCTTCACTTGTCTTCATCCGAAGTGACTTGACTCGACTCGATTACATCATATCTAAACACAAAATAAAATATCCAGCATCAGCATCCAGCATCATTATCCAGCATGAGCATCTGAAAACAAACCCAACCAGCAGCCCGCAAAAACAATATAAATGATCCCATCAGAGTCAATAATTACTCACCATTAATCCCAAAAATATATCAGATCGGATAGCAGACTACTAATAGTAAATTAAACGCTCCTAGCATTTAACTTCAATGTCTAGTGTATGAGTATCCTACCCAGAGTTTTCACTCTAGCATAAGCCGAACTTTGGTGGCTAGATTTTTGTAGTGTGATATACAAAGTGGAGAGTATTGTAGGTCCTAGGTGTTTGCGTGAAGGCTAGGGATCCGCTCGGGAGGTGAAAAAATATCAAATCAAGAGCGGTATCATGGCTAATGTGTAAATGGAAGGGGCAGTGAAGAAGAAGAGAAGGATTGATGACTTCAACCTTGAGAGTGTCATCAAAAAGATTGCTATGCCGCTCTTGTGATTCCATTTCGTTTCTAGAAAGTATAAAGGCAGCAGTTTGGAGATGATATGCAACTTGCAATATCCCCCGCTTGAATTCGTATTTGTGATAAAGCTATTTAGTGTGCAACCATCATCCATTTAAGTAGTGATTAAAACTTTTAATCATGGCTCAAGACTGAGCTATATTCACACGCTCATATTGAGCATAAAATCTGACTGTGAACTCTTAGTTTAGTAGCTTTAGCAAAGCTTATCGTTCTCTCAAAGCCTCTCCTTCCCTCAAATCTCAACTCAACCACCAGTAGCCTCTCTATAAAAGCTCAAACTCCCATTTGCCCCCGCCGTAACAAATGCCTCACTTCTTCCCTGCACCTTCGGCAACCATTTGACAGCCCAGAGCGCTTTATCTGTCTCACTATGGGTCGCCACGCAATTTCTTCCCTCGATACTCCATACCTTGACTTTACCATCCCAAGCACCACTAACTAAATATTCGCCTGTAAAACTCCAGTCGATGCTGAAAATCCAGGCTGTGTGGCCTGTCATATTAGCGACTTGTTCGCCATGGGTAACGGAGTAGAGGGCAATCGTTGTGGAGTCACCAGCGGCAGCCAGATAGGTGGAAAGGGGAGAGAAGGAGATGGTGCGGATTGGTTGAATGAGGCCTGAATTTGTTAGTATGCTAGCCCTTGTCTCGTCTTAGTTCAACTGAATTGTGAGACTTACCAGGTAAACTATGTACCATTCTCCCCGTATCATTATTAAAAACATAAACACATCCATTCTCATGTCCACTGGCCGTAAATCTTCCATCCGCACTAATATCCACACATAGTCCAAAGCTTCCCTTCGTCTCGTATTCTCTCATTTTCTTGCCTACACTTTTCTTTCCCGCATTCTCTTCAACTCCTTGTAATAAATCCCATACCCCAATCTTCCCATCAATTGTCGTTGCTGCAAGGAAATTTCCATCAGCACTTAATGCGAGCGCCCAGATTTCACCAGGCTTATTGCCATCGAGAATGTGGCCATGATGAGACCATTCTTCTGATCCATCTGCGTTTGGAGAAGAGCTCCAAATACTGACAGTACCATCGAAACCGGCGGATGCTGCGATAGTGCCAGATCGAGAGGTACAGATGTGATGACAGCCGAGTTTGTGGGCGGGGAGAGTCTGGGTTAGAGAGGGGGGCGTGGTGAGTGTGCTGTGGACTTTAAGGGAGGATGTGCCGGAGGCGGAGAGTATAGAGCTGGGTGTTACCGCGAGGGAAAAGATGTCTGTTTTATGGGCTGGGGTGGGTTAGCATGAAGGCTGGATTTGAGGTATAGCTTCTGGTGTAAGCGGGGATGGCGAGGTAGAGGGGCAGTCTGGAGGATTTACCATCATCGATCGTATGCGTTGCAAGGTATTGTTTCGACTTTTAAATGTTAGCGCATGAATTTTTATATTCAGGGGCTTACATACCATTGTCACCGGTTCATTTGAATATTTAGGTATACGATTTTTGGAAAAAGGAGTGGCTTTGGTAGAAGTTGTGAATAAAGTTGAAGCTCTAGAAGCTTTGGCGGGGTTGAAGAAAATATCATGACCTCACAGATAATTTCACCAAACACTGTTTACATAACACGAAGATAAGATTTCAAATATTGATGATGCAGTAGGATATTCTTATTTTGATGTACAGTTTAATAAATTGTACCAGTTCTGGGGATGAATACCTCACGGTTCAGGATCTCTTCCTCATGTCCCAAACGCCATAGCTGATGACATACATGATCATCTCCATTTCTGATTCTCACCAGCTCCTTGGTCTCGCATACCTTCCAAATTCCTCAAATTCCCTCCCACCCCTCATAATCACCTAATCGATTCTTCTAGAGCCAATAATCTGCTTAGGGTTCTTCTCCTCATAGATCTTTCTTGCAGCCTCCTTAGCTGCTTTCTTCTCTGCCCGCTTAGTTTCCAACTCCTCTAATTCTGCCTCTTTCTTTGTCTTTCCCTCTGCAGCTCTTGCTTTTCCTGCTTCTATTCTTACTTTCTGCTCAGCTATCTCATCTGCTCTGGCTTCTCTTGCAGCGGCGTTTGCTTCGTGTGCATTGGTCTTGAATAAAGTCTTAATTTCTACATCATTGTTAACCGCCATCTTCTGATGTATAATGTAGAAATTCTTTACCAGCAACGCAATAAGGACATAGTAAATGTGCTCTCTTAATATGTCCACAAGCAGAGCATCTATTCAAGTTTGTAACATCTTGTAATCCTTTGCCTGCCATTTGCCTGTGTCTCTTCTTCATGTGTGAAGTCTTCTTCTTTGGTACGGCCTTCAGTATTCCCTCCCATAATCCTTCAAGAAATCCGGGAATATTAAGATGTATCGCAGATGGAATGGCGAGTACTGGAAGTAATGGATGGGACAACTGTCGCGAGTATAAAGTTGTTGATCTCGTTGCGAAAGTTGCTGTTGCAGGCGCCAATCGCGGAAAGAATGACGAAAGTATCGACGACGTAGTAGCATGAGCTGCCGCCATATTGATTGAGATATGGAAGGAGAATTAACAGAGTACGTATGAGTATTCAACCTCACTGTCGATACTAATTCATCAAAATCTTGAATCTTTCACTTCTCGGCTCGCATGGTTAATCCACTAGTTTCCACTCACAGATAAGCTAGCGCATTTTAAGATTAGCTTAGATTTGCCCAATTCCTTTCCCCTGAAGTGCACGCTATATTGCCAAAATAATCTGGAGACTGACCTCCTTCCCTAACTTTGTTCTTTATCAACGACTTTTGATTGCATTTTACCTTCGAAGATAAACATCTTCGTTTTGGTTTCTATTCAATTCAAAGATAACACTCTCGTTTAGAAAGACTCAACATTTAATACACTCTTTCCAAGATGTCAACAATAACTGATAGACATGCTCCTCAACCTTCCGTATTCCCAAAAAGCCATGTTGGTTTCGATAGTATCACATCACAAATCGAGCGCAAGCTCTTGAAACGCGGTTTCCAGTTCAACGTCATTTGCGTCGGTGAGTTTGCTTGACACATTGTTGACAAGTGATTTGGGAGATTTTTCTAATAGATTTCTCTTGTAGGACAAACTGGTCTCGGAAAATCCACCCTCATCAACACCATTTTCGCCTCACATTTGATCGATTCCAAGGGAAGACTCACCCCAGATGAGCCAGTACGATCTACCACCGAAATTCAAACTGTTTCCCACATCATCGAGGAGAATGGCGTTAAGCTGCGACTCAATATTGTCGATACCCCAGGTTATGGAGATCAAGTCAACAATGATAGATGCTGGGATCCAATCGTCAAGTACATTAAAGATCAACACTCTGCATACCTCCGAAAGGAACTTACAGCTCAAAGAGAAAGATATATTCAAGATACCCGTATTCACTGTTGTTTGTTCTTCATTCAACCTTCTGGCCATGCCTTGAAGCCAATTGATATTGTGGTTTTGAAGAAGCTTTCAGATGTTGTCAATGTCGTACCAGTTATCGCCAAGTCGGATTCTTTGACTTTGGAGGAACGTGCTGCATTCAAGGAGCGTATAAAGGAGGAATTCGCTTTCCACAACTTGAAGATGTTCCCATACGAGAATGATGAGTTTGATGAGGAAGAGAAAGCTTTGAACGCACAAATCAAGGTATATTTCACTGCATTGGTCTCTCGAGAAGCAAACTAACAACATCAGGACATCATCCCATTCGCCGTTGTTGGATCTGAGAAGGATATCATTGTTGGAGGCAAGCCAGTTCGAGGACGTCAAAACAGATGGGGTGTTATTAATGTCGAAGACGAAAATCACTGCGAATTCGTCTACCTACGAAACTTCCTTACCCGAACCCATCTCCAAGACCTTATCGAAACCACATCCCAAATCCATTACGAAACATTCCGTGCTAAGCAATTGTTGGCCCTCAAGGAGAGTAGTGCTGCAGGACATGCTGGTAGCAGACCAATCAGTCCATCAGCTGATAGAGAGTTGAGCAGAAACTCCCAAAGAATGACCATGAACGGTTATTAGAGAGATTGATGGGACATGAGTGATGGCTAGTTAGTGGTCATACTGGGATCTGGTGAGTTTGGATGATTGGTTGTGTTTATGATGGCGAGATGGTATTTGCCAAAAGCGACAATTTTTTGAAAGGAGATTAGAGGAGAGTTTAATGGACTGCTTTTGTGGAGCCGGGCTTTTCTAAACTGAATATTGCTACATTTCTCCTTTGCCTAATTAGCCCTTTTTCTTTAATATTCAGAGGGTTCATTTCAATAGTAAATAATAAGATCTTCTTTTGATTCTTGGGTTCAACCATATCTTGTGATTCTGTCTATGGAACTCGAATGAGCAGTATCTGATCTCATTAATTGACGTTGCATTATTGATATCACCTTGATCAAACTAATGGATTGAAAGGCCTTGATAGTAGGCAGATCTGGCCATAAGGTTCCATCCAGCGGTCCGCATCAGAGTATGATGTGGCTGGCTCTCCTGGCCTAAAATCTCGGGCCTAAAAGAACCCCTAGGCGCTAACGTCGATAAGGGGTTTCCCCAGCTTTATCGCACGACCAGCACGCACCAATCATTTAAGCGTCCCTCAACCATTTCCACCTCCGAAATATCATTTTCTACACATATGTGTTTTCTCCAACCGCCACTCCTGCGACATAGTATCCTACGCAATACCTCAATTGCACTTCGTTTTCCTAGCTCTTGTTCACGGAATCTTAGTAAGGGTCTTCTGGCGAATATTGTGGATATGTCTCGTATGTTTCTTCCTTGCTGCTCTCTTGTTTCTTGTTTTTGTGCTTCTTGAGGGAGGAGGGAAAGAAAGATCTTGATAGATACATCTGAAGAGATTGAAAGTTGAACTCAAAAATAATGCTCAAAATCCACAACTAACACTACCTACCCTCCCCCAGCCATCCCTCCCACCACCAACCCCATCATCATCAGCGGTCCCTCGGGCGTCGGAAAGGGCACGCTCTACTCGCGACTCCTGGCCAACCACCCCACGCTCTTCACAACCTCCATTTCGCACACGACGCGCGCGCCGCGTCCTGGAGAACAGCGCGATGTGGATTACTACTATGTGTCGATGGAGGAGTTTGAGGCGATGATTGCGGCGGGGGATTTTGTCGAGCATGCGATGTTTGGGGGGAATCGGTATGGGACGAGTCGGAAGATGATTGAGAGTAAGAGGGGGGAGGGAAAGGTTGTCGTGTTGGATATTGAGATGGAGGTGGGTTTTTGGATTTCTTTTATGTTTATTATTTTTGTTTTTTATTTTTTGTTTTTGTGGGAGAGAGGAGAGGGGAAGGGGAAGGGGAAGGCGGTTACTACTCTCCCCTTCTCTCTCCTTTCCCCCCACCATTTCAAAAGAACACAATCACTAACACTCTGAAAACCCCCAGGGCGTAAAACAAATCCACGCGCTCACTCCCCCCTTCCCCGCCCGCTACATATTCATATCCCCCCCCTCCACCGCCTCGCTCTCCCCCTACCAAGTTCTCGAGAAGCGCTTGCGCGGACGAGGAACAGAAAAGGAAGAATCGATTCAAAAGCGTTTGGAACAGGCAAAGCTGGAATTGGAGTATGCGAAGAAGGAGGGCGTCCATGATAAGATTATCGTGAATGATGATTTGGAGGTTGCGTATCAGGAGTTGGAGGATTTCATTTTTGGTAAGGGGGGAAAGGCTGCGGATGAGAAGGAGGCGGGGGTTAGTGTTCTGGATTGAGGTAGAGTGGGCGAGAGGAGAAAATGAGATTGTGGGGTGTAGAGGGTAGTTTGGGTTGAGTGTGTAGAATGAAAGTTTGCATGGCGAGAGAAGTCTCCCTTGGATGTGCAAAGGCCATGAGGAGTCATAGATAGAAATTGTGTGGTTCTTTAGATGGGATTTGGGAGACATAGAAAAGGCTTATACCTAGACAAAAGAATGCATACAGTATCAACCTTCAATTTCATAAAATCCAAAGTACAAATGATGAAATTGTATGTTTCTCGGGTATCGAAAGGGGCTGTAAATTGAAGGGTCGATTTGGAGGTCATATTTGCGGAGTGGTCATTTTCTGTAGGCCATAACTTTGAGACCAATTATCATACCTGGGAGACCAATTTCGAGGCAGGTCAGGTGAAATAGACCAATTCGCAGCATCCACAATCCCGGGGGATCAACTTCATCGCACTCAACACCACAAAAAGAACTCTAGTCTCACAGCATCATTGAGAAACTTTATTAAAGGGCCTACCCATATCATATGGTTCTGATACCACACAACGAAATTTAACGAATGATTCCCGCCACATTCACCCATGCCTCCATCTATCCATACGATTCACCGAGCACAGGAAACAAATCCTAGGTAATCCACGCATTCTAGAATAAATGACCGAATTTCAACACCCCTCACAATGAAAAGAATTCCCATACGCGTTCTAGAATTTTTATAATTGGAGGACAAGGACTGGACCGAAATGCAGCTCCGACGCTGTAACACCTTGAATGGGGGGTTCAAATGTAATGTAATGTGAAATGTATAATGAAATTGAAAATGGAAATAAAATCGAGGTTCCTGGAGATGAGAAATATCCGGGGGATTTTGCGAAATTCTTTCGCGCCTGCCTGCCTGCTCGCCTGTCTTAAGACTCCATCCTTTCTCTCTGGGGGAGGGGGAAACTTGTTCTTTAAGAGTCGTTCTTCGGATTGTAGGATTTTCTGTAATTTTGAATCATATTATGTCGAATTGGAGAGGTCTGATAACATCGGAAGATAAGAAACGTATAATCGAATCGAGGTCTATTTCTTTCCTTGTGCGGCGGCGAGTGCTTCGGCTGCTTTTCTTTCGTCGGCTGGGAGGGGGAGTTAGTAGGTATAGATGAATAGATGGATAGATAGAGGATATGGGAAATCATACCTTTCTTTTGCTTTTCCATTAATAGAACACGGGTCTTATCTTTCTCGGCTTGCATTTGCGATTTGGACATTCCGCTTCCGGCTTTCTGGTTGGGGAGGGAGGGTTAGTGTATGTGTTTTAAGATAGAGAGATAGAGAGAGAGAGAGGGAGAGAGAGAGAGAGAGCAGCGGCATCTTCATAGTATAACATGTGAATAACTTAAAATTCGAGGAACCTCAAAACAAGATAGAAGAATAGAACATACAGCAAGTTGAGCCTGTTTCTTAGCATTAGCCTCACGGGACTTTTCTCTCTGATTTCCTCTCGCCATTTTTGAATAATTAAGAGTTTGGTATTAGAAGTATATTGTGTATATGTGTGTCAGATGTGTGGTGTGGCCTTTTGTGTTTTTTGCAAAATGCAAAAATGAGGGTTTGGTCAGATTGTGGAAAAGAGAAAATGAATGGTGAGGCTGAGAGATATGCACGGAGACAGAGAGAGAGATGAATGTTCTGGATTATTGATACGGAGAATCGGAGGATGGGTTTAAGCGAAGGTGGATTGGGGCTGTTTGATTGGTGAATTGGGGGGTTAGTGAGAATGAATGAGAAGAATGGATGGATGTGAATGTGGATGTGGATATGATAGGAAAGGAAAGGATATAGAAATAGAAATAGAAATAGAAATAGAAATAGAAATAGAAATAGAAATAAAAATCGTAGAATACTTTAATTTATGGACTTGATTGGAGGATGGGAATTTGAGAGTTTCGTTTCAAATGACTGGTGAGTAGGAGGTATCTATCTACCGCTACTACGTCTACAATAACATAATAAACGCAAGTTATAAAAAGATTTGTATGTATACTAAGTCTATTGTATGTCCATTGTATGTTGTACATCCTTCACAAAGAATATTCATTCAACCATTGGCCATAAGTTTCTTTTATTCCTCCTCTTCTCTCTTCTCTCTCTTCTTTCAGCAACTCGGTAGAGTCTGCACATTCAAATCATGAAACATCCTTACCCAAAAGGCATTTTTCATCCAATGATTGGAACTCGACTTTTATATCACGAAACTGAGCCATGTCCAAACCTCCCACTGACTTAACTACCAATTCATGCATTGCTTTTCTCCTTTATTGGATAAGAAGTGACTCTGTTACGACGATGATCGATGTCAAGCGCGTCTTTTCAACTCTTTCGCGCCCGAGAGGAGTTTTCCTTGAACACCTTGAAGCAAACCGGGTTTGGGTGATCAAACCTTACCTATTTTCATCCATTCATTTCTGTCCTCAGAAGAGAATAAGTTCTAGAGCTTGTACATGATGGTCAAAGAATCTCTAGATAATCTATGTGTGATTGGATTTCCTTTCATCTTTGGGGAAATCATGGGATAATAAAGAGTTCATTCACCCCACAATAGCTACATCTTTTGGCGTCAAAAGTTGAGTCAAAGGGTTTGGGGGATTTCTTCTTTCAATCTTCATACACATTCACCTTTTCGTTTTCTTGTGTCTGTTGTCTGTTGTCTGTTGTCTATTGTCTATTGTCTTTTGTCTATTCACGAAGACTATAGGACGATTTCGAAAGAATCCTTATTTCTATTGTTAGAATCATTCAAACAATGAAGTCAGGACTTCAATAACGAACAATTGTTTTATTTAATATATCTTCTTCTCCTCCTGTCTAAGATTCGGAATCTGTTTCTTACTTTTTTGACTTTGAAAATTATCATACACTTCTTCACCATCTTTCTAAAACTTCTATACACAACTACAACTATACAACACAACTTGGCTTTACCAAGTTTCATACTTAATTTTTACTACTTACATACTTTGAAAGTATTCCAAAACTCTTCCGTCTACTGTAGGCAGTTTACTACTACACTTATTTACCCCAACTGTAAGTTCTTCCTTGTCGTCGTCTTTGATATAACTCAAGACACTTGGCTAACACATTCTTAGACTCGGAATTCATACATATATTCGTCCCTTAATACAATATAAATCACAATGTTGAACGTCAAACAAGCCGGTCGAGGCTTCGTTATTCTGAACATCATCCGTGTTATGAACATTATCGCACTCCTCGATGTTATCGCAGCAAGTTGGATCATGCTTGTCATGACCGTCAAGACCTCTAACGTAAGTCCCTCCCCCCGTTCCTGATTATATTAGTACCCAACTAACACCTCATCTAGTTCTTCTTCTTTGATGGAGTTTCTCACTTCATCACCAGCTCCATCGGAATCTTCCTCATCATCTCAGAACTCTCCCTTTTCAAGAAATACTTTGAGAATTTCTGGCCTCTCCTCTGTCCCCATAATGGTTTCCTCTTCCTCGGTCTTTCCATGTTAGCTCTTGGTTTCAATATCCTCGGAAACTTGAACAAGAATGCCACTTCTGTTCAAAACTTAGGATTACCCATGTGGCGTGTGGTTATTTCTTCAGGATGTCTTTCAGCTATTCTAGGAGGTATCAATTGTATTGCCGTAAGTTATCTTCCCTCCTACTCCTCTTCCCTTTATATTTTATAACAAGTCCACTAACAACCTCACAGTCCCAAATCTTCACCACCAAAACCAAAACCGCACGCCAACTCCGCGCCCACGGCGCCACCGACACTCCCAACCCTTACGAAAAACGTCTGTCCCTCCCCTCCTCCATCAACAACGATCTCCCCTCTTACTACACCAATCCCGCCGAACGCCGCAAATCGCGCTTCCCCTTCCGTCTCCCTCTCCGCGCTTCCCAAATCCACATCTCCAAACCCGTCATCTCGGACCCGCAACCCTTCCACCCAGATCTGGAAGTCGGCGAAAGCTATGATCATCAGAAAATGGATAGAAGCAGTCCGATCGTACCGGGTGTCGAGAGACCACCTACCGCAATGCATCCTGCGAATTTGAGACCCCCGCCTGCGCCGAGAAGTAGCGTCTATAGTGTTGCGAGTAACGTGACGAGGTTTACGAGGATTTAGATGGTTTGGGCGTGGACAGGGCCAATTTGGCGGGAATGGAAGTCGATCAATCGATCGATCAATCAAAAAGTTTAGTTTAGCTTGGCATGGCATAGCGTAGCGTAGCTTAGGGTAGGATAGGATAGGGTAAATAGCGAGCTTCTTATGATCTAGGAATACATTGCGATGGAACTGGTGTTTAAAGGTGTTTAGGGAATGGATGAATGTGCGGAATACCCCAATGATCCTTTTTTGCTTTTTTACTTTCTTGTCTTGTCTTTTTTACGGAAGAAAAACAGGGGTTGATGAGATGGCATGGGATGGGAGGGGATGAGATGGGATGAGATGAATGAGTAAATGGATTTCCTAATGATGATTCACGAATTTCATTTCTATACCCACTTTGTTTTAATAATACTTACTATTACGTTACTTTACATTTTATTTCTTTGAACATGATTTAAGGATTTTATGTGCGCTTGAATTGAACATAAATGTAGATCTAGATTCGTGCATACCCTACCTCGCCTGATCCCCATTTCTTAACAATTCCGCAAACCCAAACCCAAATCCCAATCCCAAGTCCCAATTACCCATCCCCTCCGTCCCCTCGAAAAAGAAACTCAAATATACGCGCTAAAATCCCCTTCGCTCGCCACCCCCTCCTCCTGCCTCCCAATCCTCGCCTTCGTACTCCCAATCCTCCTATTCTCCCTCGCATCTACACTGACCGGTCTACGTCCTGCGCCCTTCACCATCCGCGCATTAGGTCCCACGATCAGACTTCCCATCGTGGGGGATTCTTCGCGTGCTGCGCGAGGATTTTCTTCTGGGATTTTGTCTTTAGAATTGGAATGCGAATGTGAATGCGAATGCGAATGCGATGTCGAGTGAGGATGCAACACCGAAGTGTAATACCCATCTCCCTTTAAATCCTTTTCCGTAGATCTACGCACCGACGAATTCCGATTCCGATTCTGTTCATTCCACATACTATCTGCAGAATCTCCGAGATCAGGCGTATACGGATTCGACAAAAAATGCGAGAAGTGCGGGATTGCAAGTGTAGAACTTCTTCCTCTTGATGCATGTTCCATTGCATTTGTACTTGTACCTGCTGCTCCGATTCCAGATCCACTCATACTAGCGCCCAAAGGGGGAAGTTGCGGGATTTGAGGAATCGTCGTGGTAGTCCCGTGACGTATGAAATTTGGTTGCAAATCGACATCTGTGCTTTCGCCCATGCTTTCCCAGCTGCCGGCGCTGAATTCGCTGAGGAGAATGTCGCTGCCATTTTCGGTTCCGGTGGTTTGTTGACTTGGTTCTCTTTCTCTTTCCCGTTCCCGTTCTCGTTCTCTTCTATCTATTTCCAGAAGCTGTGTATGTCTACTCTGACTCTGAGAAAAGTTTCCCAAAGTAGGCACTTGCTCCTGACGAATTTGTAATTCCTGCATACTCGGACTCACACTCTCGAATCTACTATCCAAGCTAACTAAACTATCACTCCCCTTCAATCTGCTTTTACTAAATGTAGCCTGGATATACGATCTCAACTGTCTGGTTCCTTCTTTTGCGCTCGAATATCCATTCGGATATGTTATTCCTAGCGAATCGTTATTGATCCCCGTCCCAGCAGCTTGTACTTCATCGCCAACCTGTACTTCCTCCGGCACGGTTGGCGAATCCGCATAACTTCTTCTTGCCTTGCGACGCATGGAAGCCATTCCTCCCCCGCTGAAGAAAGGAGATGCGCCTCCGCGACGAGAGACAGGTCGTGTATTGATACTACTATACGACAATCTACTATTTCCTCCAGTTTCCGACTCCCAGATTGGTGCTGGGGCCCGAGGACTCTTAGATACGGGCTTTATACTTAGCATTTCGTTGCCACCACTCGGCGATATCATTGCGTGTCCGAATTTTAGAAGATCAGTGGAGGTGGTTGAGTATACGCTTGTTGCACTACGATGTTTATCATCCGTATCCAGAGTATGAACCGTTTTCCACGTGCAAGAATTACGTGCGAGACTAGGATGTTGACCGTGTCCTATACTTCCTCTACGACCTGGTGTATTCAAGATATCGAATGAAGATATGGATTCTCGAGCGCCGTGGCCAAGTCCACTTAACCGTTTATCCGCACCTTCTGCCAACGCAAAATTGAGATTTCGAGTTGTGGATTTGCGATGAGCTCGCTTTCTCTCGTTATTCTGGCTCTGTTTGTTTTGTCGAGGTGCGAGAGGTGCTCGGGTTGCTTTACTCCAATCTCCTGATAATACAGAGAAGTTATCCAAAGGAGAGGATGAAAAGTTACTATCCGTCAGGTTCAATATCGTACCATCAGAAGGGTTGGTTCCAAAGAGACTTTGATTGCCAAAATGGCTCATCTCACTATTCCTCAACTTTGGATCATTACCCACAACATATTGCGATCGTCTTGTATGTCCTTTCCGTGAGTAATTCGAATAAGTTCGTTGCAGTATATTAGTACTATTTGTTCTCGAACTATCCAAAGTATAATCCGTATCTTGAGTATTCCTCCATGTACCCCGATTTGGAGTTTTACTTAATGCATTTTCCGAATTTGCACGAGCCCTATTTCCAAAGCTTTGAGATTCGCGAAACTTCGACTTTGGAGCCAAAGTTTGTGAGCGTCGGAGAGATTTGCGATTGTCATGGACCACAATATTAGGTGTGGTTGATGTGTAAACACTAGAACTAGCATCGATAGAGAAGCCAGAGGTATCGAGTTGCAGTGGTGCGATCTTTTTAGCAGAATATGCTCGTTCTATGCTAGAGGTGCTTCTTATGGGACCTGAAATGTTTTCCTTGGAAGGTCCACCTGAACGTAATGAGGAACTAGAACGTTTTCTGCGGTAATAACAAAGGCAAAGAATGAGTGCGATAAAGACAATCAGCACTGGAACCACAATCGCTGCTATTACTCCTTTGCTCAAATTTCCACTCGCAGGTGAATTGACACCGGATCTTGCAGATGTACCCGATGCTGATGGACTATCTGTGAATGAGGAGCCGTCTGATGCTTGGATGCCCAGATTGAAAGATTCAGAGCTAGAGCGTTTTGATGTTTTGGAAGTTGCTGTAAGTGTAATATTGATGTTCGAAGGTTTAGCAGATGTAGGCACTTTTCCTGAAATCTTGAAGCTATGAGCATCAAAATATATCCAATCCGTTGGTGGGGATACTTGTGCTGTCAATGTAGTATCGTAATTGTTCCCAATATATGCACCAAGGCTAAAAGAGAATTTCGATCCGATACTTGCATTCACGTCTTTTATGGGACCAACGAATAACGCCGTAGCTATCTTGATGAATACCACAGTATTAACTTGATCCCCATATATATCTACAGCCTGTATGGAGACATTATACGAAATGGCGTCAAATGGTGGTGTGCCAGTCAGACTAAGAGTGGCATTATCGAATGCGAGCCATTCTGGCGTTTGAGCAGTAACTGAGACGATGCTTGAAGCATTGGCGGGCTGTCCATCAAGCTGAAGACTGTTTTGTAGACCTGTGTAATTGATCTCCACTCCTGGTGTAGCATTGACAACCGAGTTTACCGTACTAAGTGCGAGGAGATGTACCCCAACTCTGATATTGAAAGGAATAGATGCTCCAGAGTATCCTGATACATCCGAAGCAATAAGCTGAACTCCGAAAGTCTGTGGTGGTTGTATGAGAGAAGCATACTCTGGTGTTTGACCGCTAAAAGTTAGGGTGCTCTCATCGAAAAGAACCCATGAAGGCAGAGGTGTATCATCGACTGTTAAAGCGTAGTATTTAAGAGCTGTTCCACTAGGACTCGAGAATGTTGCTGGATCGAAGCTGATCTTGAAGGATGATGAAGGATGGTATAATAATGTTGACGGTGCTGAGAAAGGCCCTTCTGAAGCAAGTTGTGATTGAGCTGATATTTTAATTGTCGGTGGTGAGTTTTTGGACACTACTAGAGTAGTATTCGACGTCACAGATCCCGAGGAGTCGCTTGCAATCACTCCAAAGATAGCCTCCGTAACTGTTCCAGTGCCAGTATCACTACTAGATGGTATGCCTGATAATGTTCGAGAAGTACTATCAATGGAGAGCCATTGAGGCGAGCCTGCTAAGCTGTAGCTGAGAGGGGACGTAGAAGTGAATGTTGATTGAGGAAATGTATATGAATATGGTATTGACACGCGCGCGATAGGAGGAAACTGAGAATTGATCGGGTATGCGATAGATGGTATAGCATCAATGACTGCTCCAAAGATAGCAATACCAGACAAAGTAATTCTCAATGCCATATCCAGAGAGTCTTGCAGATGTAATTCTCAGAAAGTCCGGATGAAGATACTACTTGCATACAGAATGAGAGAAGATACATGTCAACAGAATTTCTGGATGAAAACGGCAACCGACAGAAGAAATTCAACTTAGGAAAAGCTAGATATCATGGACTTGCCATCGCCAGATATTCTAAAGGCGCAGTAGAGGGAGATCCACCTATCGGTATTACCTTACCTGAAATTCGAGAACCATCGTGATGTAAGGGATAAGAAAGTATCATACCCCCGCCTTACCAGATAATTGAGATATTTATGGAGGTTGACATGCTGATTTGAGGCTATACATAGTCAAATTCCATTGACCAGCCCCATCGAAGCGAGCAACATTCTGTGGCAAGTTTGAGGAAACAAGAATACTATCAGGAGACCGATCTAAATAGAACTATTGAATTCGGTTCCAAAGTGTGATTTCTCTCCAAACAGCTAGCTATCTGTGATAATTTCGCAGGGTTGCAATAGCAATAGAGGGAGGATCAAATCGAAAGTGTAGTTAGTACATAGGGTTATCAGAACCTTTCAACAGCTCAGTAAACGTAGACTTCATCAAATCCGGCATCATTATTCGATGGTCTTAGCATTCCTTGCCGAGTATATTCAATTGTCCAGGCCAGGGAAATGCCCTTTTGGTGTTCTAAAAAGGGTTGTCACAGGGAGAACAGATGAAGGGATATTGGAACTCGTGCTAAGACGGTGAACCACATTAAGCGAAATGGCTTACATAGCACGGCAGAATTCGTGGTGGGATGGTGGGGCAATATCAAAAGTCTAGAAGTGCATGAATATTGTTGTCGCGAGTTTCCAAATTTTTCAAATTCCCAAAATGACTACTTCCAGATCTCCCTCCCCGGAATTCTCTCCCCTAGCAATAGGAATTGATCTCGCCCCCCTCCCAACCTACAAAGCGGCTACAACCAGCACTGTAAACTTTTCCGGTCTTCTCGAGCCCCCACTAAAGCTACACGAAGATCTCTCAAAAGGATGTGGTGGTCAACTTTGGCCTGCGGGTATGGTACTTGCGCAGCATATGCTACGATATCATAAAGATATCTTGAAGGATGCTAAGATGTAAGTTTCATCTCACATTTCATCTCGTTTTAGAACCTTGCAAAAACCATCTAGTGGAAAATTTCCAGATTTGGATGTCCTTGGGAAAAGTCATGTGTTGTTTGTTCCCTCTACAGTGATATGTAGTTACGATAACATTATAAAATCATATAATATGGTTGACCTCTTTGATATCCCGAGGGATCTGGAGAAGGTCTTGCATAAGAAGGGTAGAAAGAAATACGGAAAAGGGAATTTTGGAAATAGTGATTCGAATCCCCAGACTATACAACACTACATACAAAACACAACATAATCCAAAAGCTCAAGAACTAACAAAAATCCAGACTCGAACTTGGGGCTGGAGGCGGATTGGTCGGCTTAGCCGTAGCTCTAGCATGTGATCTCCAACATCCATTAGTCCTCTCTGACATGGAAGTTATGTACGAACTCATGAAGCAGAACATTGCTCTCAACGAAGTATCCTCGAAAGTCGAACCGCTGATCTTGAATTGGTATGCTTGCAATTCTCCCTGCTTGTTTATGTATTTACTCTGACAATTACAGGGGCGAGCCGTTACCAGAGCTAGTTGTGAAAGATAAACCAGATGTTATTCTAGCAGCTGATTGCGTCTATTTTGAACCCGCATTTCCATTACTACTTCAGACGCTCGAAGAGCTATTGGGATTATCACAGAATGCGGTTATCTACTTCTGTTTCAAGAAGAGGAGGAAGGCAGATATGCAGTTTATGAAGAAAGCAAAGAAGAAGTTCCTAGTTGAGGAAATTGAGGATCAGGATAGAGAGACTTTTACTCGCGAGGGTTTGTTCTTATACACATTTAAACGAAAATCATGATACCCAGAATTTGTAACATCAGGACTGTATTGAAGCATTCGCTCCAAAATCTATGTCTACTTAATATGCAGTCTAGAATCATTCCAATGAACTGAAATATCACTCTTCGCTGGAACCCATATTGACACCCAACAAAAATGCCGGTTCATCAACCTTATGATGCTCATAACTCAACACACCTACAGCTCCCGGCTCAAGCATCATGGGCAACGCTCTTCCCAACTCAAACCCAATCCACCTCTTCGCAAACGCTCTCAAAATATGTCCATGCGCAATCAACACAACATCTACTCCCTTCTCCCCATGCATATACGGACCCTGCATTTCTCTAATCTTCGCAATAACCCCATCCAATCTCTCCTTCACCTCATCCGCGCTTTCTCCATCCTCACATCCATCCGTCCAAATATTCCACGGTCTCTCTGTATCCAAGCCCCGTTCTTTCCGCGCAGCTCTGATTTGCGCAGTGAGTAATCCTTCATAAGCTCCATATTCCCATTCTCTAATATCTTCTGTGATTTCTGTTTTATCTGCAAGTTGTTGCTGTGTTTTTTCGTCAAAGAGGATTTCGAATGTGCGACGAGCGCGAGTTCGGGGGGAGATAAATATGTGGGCGAGCTTTGAGGGATTGATGATTTTGGAGGGACCGACTAGGACGCCAGCGGAAGAAGAGACTTGGGTTTCTCCGTGGGGAGTTAGAGGGATGTCACTTCGACCTGTGTAACGGCCTGAGATGGTCCATTCTGTTTCGCCTGGGAAGTGACGAAGTTAGAATTTTGACTGTCCAAACTTTTGAATCCTTAAATGATACGTGCGAGTCTTAAACAATATATGATGCAGGTGTGAACCATAGTATTAAAAGAGCTATAAGCGACTTACCACTGATACAGAGTTAGCATTCACACCCATCCAATCTCCATCAGGGTATTTGATTATTATATAGCCCATGGAGAATGTTTTGCTAGAGGGTTTTCTAGGTGTACTTGGGCAAATACGTACTGTCTAATGAGGAAGACTCGTGGAGTACCTGCGTCCTTATCTGGCATGTTGATCCTTTGATCGATTATTCGATTGACAGCTTCAATACAATTGTATTGGACTTATTACAAGAACACGAAGTAAATAAAACCCCACCAAAAGCTTGGCATGTCTGATAAGAAACCCCTCGTGCTTATCGATGAGTCTCGCATAAAATCTCAGGTTGATTTTTAGATGGGGGGTCACCGGTAATGTAAGCATGTGTGCAGCTCACCGGACGCCAATCGCCAAAGATCGTATTCTCCATCATGGGGAGAAATCAATAGAATCAACGTCCACCAGTATGGTTTGGCGATGAACTTCTAATTCGTCTAACCCATCATAAGGTATAATACATGGTTGCACACAGGTAAATGAAATAAGCTACACTCTGCCCAGCTTGTAATAACGTCTATATCCAAAACAACCTTGATTGCCCTAGCCCTGTATATTTATACATGCAAAAGTGGTAGATATATATAAAATAACAAGCTTCAATCCCACTCAATATTTACATTTTCAAGATCGTCAATCCTCAGCATTTTTATCATAGCCGTCAACAGCATTTACCCCTTGTAGTAACCCCTTTTCCTGAGAACTGCGGCGGAAAGCTTTTGCTTCAGGCGTCATGATCCATTGTGTCGTTCTTCGAATTAATAGCTTGTTAGTTGGTAGCAGTCTCGATTCTCTTTTATCTTCAATCTCTGATTGTCGTTGTCGTTGTCCAGTATGATTGTCTATTTGACTGTTTGAAAGCTGTCCTGGATTGTGTTCGTTGTCACTAATTGACTTGCCTGGTGATTCAGCTGGTACAATTTCAGACTCAGCTACATCGTCGAAGGTCGATTTGGCTGCCTGTTCACTTGGTTGATTCAAAGATTCAGTCGATACACTTTCAAGTTGGGCTACTTCATCTCTTATTGGCTCTGTTTCCGGCTCGATAACATTTTCTTCGTCGGCCCGGATCATAGCGTCAAAGATCCAATTAGGATAGACGGGAGAATTGACAGCGTGTAGACGGCGCTTTAGAATACGATATATATCTCCTGTTCTAGAAGTGGTAGCCTCCAAAACTTCCTCGTCGATGATATCGTCATCAGCCGGATCTGACATCTCGGACTCGGACTCCATAGCATTGGCTACATCTGCCAGTGATGTCTCATTGCCACCAGAAGCAGATTGCAAGGCTTCACTTAAACGAGCTCTAGCTTGGAATCTGAGCCACCACCTACTTGCCATGATATGGTCGACGACAAATCCAGCCCGCTTTGTTCGAATGAGGGCATCTGCGGTCATCTGTGGGTCTTGAAGTCTCATGTAGCCCATAGTCAATGCGTTCCATGTTGCTTGGTTAGGCTCCAGACCCTCTTTCTCAATCATGATCTGCAACACTTTTTCGGCAGCACGAGGTTGATGACGTTGCATGAATACGTTAAGTAATGTAGTCCATGTATGAAGACTTGGAGGGGGTGGCTGGAAAGTATCGTCAGTTGCATCATCTGACTCAGGATCAATGTCGCTCTGTTCTGAGCTACTTGACGCAGCAGCAAAATCATCCTCATCTCCATCAAGAGATTGATCATCCTCAATTTCAGTTACCGAGTTCCTTGGTTTGGATTGCTGAACTTGCATATCAGCAACGATTTTCAGACATTCGTGCATTGGTGCATCGAGATGGCCGAGCCCAACAAGCAAGTGGTTGTAGATTTGAGCTTCTACCAACAGAGGAGCGACTATTGGATCTCTTGCGGCTATCAGGGCTTTGAAATGGTTGTAAAATCTCAACAAAGCCGTGTAGTTCCGAACGCTTCCAATGTATGATTTCAGCATCACTATTAAGGTCACATAGTTCGGTTCTAGAAGAGCGTCTTCGGCAGCGGACTCGCGGGGTGTCATGACAGTTTCGGACTCATTTGTAACAGACAAGTCGAGATGATTTTGGTCTTCTTCCACACGACCCTGGATTTCATAATGGGTGTCATCCACCTCATCGTCAGGATCCATGGAGCCCAGACCCAAGATTTTCTCCTGAAATCTAGGTATGAGTCGAGCCAATGGTTCCACCTCGAAGTTCTTCATATAGATTGGAAGCATCTGTGAGAATGGGTTTTGAAGAGATCTTCTCTCACTGGGAGCGCGCTTGAAATACTCTCGTCTGTGTAAGCGAAATATTGTGTCTAATATGTCTGTGACAGTATAACTGTTTCGCACACCGTCCTCGCTCATCCAGTGCGCCAATTTTTCGACCGCAACGTCATCCCCGCGAATCTTGGCATCGTTTAGCATGATTGAATAAGTGTATGTGTCCGCCATCACTCGATTTTCTGTCATCATATCATAGATTTGCCACGCCGTGAGATGGTCTCCAGCTTGAAGTGAATTTTGGATCAGGATGTTGTATGTAACAATCCCGGGCTTCAGACCATGATGTAGCATGAAATCAAAAAGTTCTGTATCAGTAACATGTGCATCATGGTCACGATATCTGCCGGTAAGAAGTACGTTGCAGATTTGTGGCCATCTTCCAAGGTTTAGATCAATGCCTTGTTGAGTTGCTTGCTGCAGTACTTGGAAAGCCATATCTGTCTGACGAGATTGTGCAAAACGATAGGCAAATCTTAGCAAGGTTTTGCCAGTGAGATGCTGTCTTGTGCCTGTTAGTATGAGATAGAACATCTTAAACTGTTGGCCATTCATCATTAATTGCAACAAGTAGATTGAGCGCGCACTCAGCCGGAGGCCGCGAAGCTGAAGATATTGTACACTCTCAAGTATCTGTCGAAGATCCCCGGCAGTGAAAGATTCTGGGGTAGGTTTGTGCTCTTGTGAACCAAAATAATGAGATACTACAAAATCAAGACAGTCATTTGCGGCCCATGCAGGTGGAAGAAATGGTGCTTGATATGTTGCAAGTAGTAATTTGAGTGTAGATGCAGGATATTGGTTCATCGCTGTAAGCATAAGCTCCTCCCAAACATGAGGACGGATCTCTGTGGGGACTCGACGCCAAATGGCAGCTAGGGCAGTGACATTGTCTTGTTTGATGAATAACAACCTCGATGCAAGGGGAAACTTTGACACAGCAACATTATTGTACTCCAATTTAGGATGACCCTTTAAAGCATCTTCGTGTCGTTGATTGATAATGGCAAATTTTGAAGACCATTTCCACATTTTCAACTTCATGGTATTGGCTCCTGCATCGATCTTTATTTTGAGATATTTGGTTGAAAGCTCTGGGAGGCCTTGTTGCTGGGCCCAAAGTTCATAATGGCCAAGCAATTCTGGGCGTGTTGCCGGATCAGTTGTGATATGCTCAGAGTGCAAGCGTCGCTGATTCAAAAATGTATTCCTATTGACTGACGGTATGCCCTTCGGTCGTTGAGAATTCTCACGAGGAAATTTGCACCCACTAGGTCTTCGGAAAAAAAGTGACTTTCTCGGAAGGTTGTTTTTGATGCGCGACCCTACGACATGCCGATCCTGTCTTTCAGATCTATTCCTGGTAGATCTGTGATGAGTTCTCATGGATTTTGTCGCTGCCGCAACGGCGACGGACTGATCTAATGAATTGGTCTCATTGCTAGAATTTTCCGGTGGTATCTTGGTCTCTGGAGAGAGAGGTGATATTTCTTGGCTCGAAGCATTTTCCGTTTGAGCTGTGGATACAGGTGGAGATGTCGAAGTTTGTTGAGGGATAAGTCTTGACAACTTGTGTAAGGGGAGAGCAGTAAAGTTTCCAGAGCGACTCGGCTTGGTATTACGTAACATATACACATCCTGTTTATACAAAAGGATCTCGTTGGAGATAGTTTTTAATCGCGAATGGAGTGCACCCGATCTGGCAGGCACACGATTTGTCTCAAGAGATATGCTTGGACGATAAAACGACGATGCGGTTGATCGCACGCGGCGAGGTCTCCACGAAGAGCTTGTTTTCATAGAATCTTCTGTTTTCCCTGAGTCTTGAAGAGTTGATACGGCGGGACTCGGCTGACACTCCAATGGTCCATTGGGCCCTGGTTCATATGGTGCTTTTGCGTGATCTTCGGTGGACGAACCGTCTCCATTGCGCTCAGTCGTCCTCCCAAGACTGCCTTCCGAAGAAAAGTGTCTGATAGACCCATGATTAGGGATTTCTATGCGGGCGAAGGAAGTGGGGGTCGTTCGTCGTTTGCTGAATCTGGCATATCTTGTGTTGGGTTGCACTAGCACATTTGGTGATGAATCTTCCTGACACTTTGAATATATATCTTCCCCCCTGCTAACTGTTGATTGTGCACGCCCATCATGGCCTTGGTTTCGTTCCGTTCTCGTTTTCAAATAAACTCTGGCACCCTTGGAGGGCCATGGCTGGAAAACTCTCGGTGCAAGGAACGGAAGAATGGGCAATTCCGATGGCGACCATCGTCTTGGTAGAGAGTTCGAAAATGGAGGCATCAGCTGCCGGCATGCATTTTCTAATCCATTTACTGGCACTTTCTTTATACAGTTGGTAGTAAGAGAGGGCTACCTTTTTAAAACTTGCGCCCGGGAAAAAAATTAAGGTTTATCTTAGCGGCCGGGGTATGACCAGGCTGAGATTACCGTGAGCCAATTAAAGCCCGCATCAGAACTTCAATATCTCTCCCGGCTGTGGATTTATTTAAATCGAACTTCCCAATTGTCGGTCACTAGAGCATACAAAAATCGTCAATTCAGCTACACGTCCAGGTTACCACATCATATAAACCCCGGCAATGTCATCTACACATGCCACTCTAGGCGCCGCCGCAGATGAGCGCAAAGCGCGACTTGCAAAGCTCAAATCCTTGAAAAGAAAGCAGCCAGCAGACGAAATTGTAGCACCAGAATCAACGCGCTCACCTTCACCACCTACCTCCCCCGATGTCGCGAAGCTTCATCTGTCGGGTCGTAATTATGACCCAGAAACTAAAGGCCCCAAGCTTGGTTTTGAAGCCCCTCCCACGTTAGCACTCGAAAAACCTACACTTGAACAACAGGCCGCAGAGGTTGAGGAGGAAATTAGGAAGAAGGCAGAAGAGGAAGAACAGGACGACAAGGGGGTAGATTTATTCAGATTGCAGCCTAAGAAACCTAATTGGGACTTGAAGAGAGACCTCGAGAAGAAAATGGAAGTATTAAATGTACGGACGGAGAATGCGATCGCGAGGCTAGTGAGGGAACGGATTGAGAGTGCGCAAAAGGCGGCTAGAACGAAGGGTGGGAGAGGCGCAATAAGTGCAAGTGAGGGTGGAGAAGAGCTTGGGATGGAGGGTGTTGCTTTGGTGGAGGGAGTCAAGCTGAGGGAGAAGGAGGAGGAGGAGGAAGAGCGACGGGAGAAGGAAGATGAAGATTTACAATAGGATCACTTCAAAATATTATTTGTACAAAGGCGTTCAAATGGAGGCAGGCGTGGTATGAGGCGTATGGGCGCCTTGAATTTTAATATAGATACAAAAATTGGCAGATAGCCAAGGGGTATTTCACAACCACGCAACCATTCTCTGCCACTTCCTCGCCCGGAGCGCTTACCGGCTCATATTCATTGCTTGCGTGAGTGCTAATCTCTTACTAAATGGACTCATGCTCCTCTCCCTCGGTGGGGGCGCATGAGCTGCAGAAGACGCGAAGGTTTCTCTACGCCCTTCGTTGACTCGAGGCTCATCAAATCGTCTCCTATCAGTTGAGACATTCCTTCTGCCTCTATAGGGACTTCGACTCTCAGTCCTCCTCCCACGAATCTCAGGGCTTCGATCATTGAATCTCTTTCTGGTACTTCGGCTATTTCCCCTCTCTCTCGAATCTCTCATGTCTTCCTCGTCTCTAGAGCTATATGAATTTACGGAAGAGGATGCGTCTCTCCTCCGCTTTTGTCCCGAATGCTGTACATCTTGTCGGGGCGGTGATGGCGACGGCGACAAGCTAGGAGTTTTACGCTTGTATCGATTAGATGCAGGCTGAGGTAGTGAATGGGAACGTCTAGATTTGTATGTATTGGGTGCGCGTCGAGCTTCTCTTGGTGAGGGCGAACGTGACATGTTCGTAGATATTGTCGAAACCGATGCTGAAGAAGCAGATCTTCTTCGCTTGGAAGCTCCCGTTTCCATGTCTTCATTTTGCCTCTCACGTTTGCGACCTCGTTCCTGCTCCAGTTTCGCAAGTTGCTCATCAGCAATGCCTTTCCTGTGATATGCAGTCAGTACAAAGCCTGGCCCCCTTGTAGAATAAACTTTGAATAAATCCTCCAATATGAAGTGCACCCCCAAAAATGTGATATCCTGATTGACTCAACCAGAACTGAGAGCCTGATAACGTCCTTCTAGAGTAGTATACGGGGAGCCATTGGGGGCAAACAAGGAACAGTAATTATACAGGCGTGTGCGAGAAGGAATACGTACTTTTTTAAAAGATCCTGTGGTACATCACTGGTCAATTTTGGAACAAGCTTGGGATTGGACAGTTGTTGTGTACGAGAGGGTCGGGAAACATATGGACGCTCTTGCGCATTTGCTTTGCACTCATAACTATAGTGTCGTAATAAACAGTTAGCTATGGAGATCGAGAGTGAGCCAAAGTGTAGACGTATCTTTTTTGAGGCACTTTTGGCACGTAGTTGTCGCAGATGCCTTTGAAGGACCCCCAATTGTGGCAGGCCTGTTGATGCCATGGTAGCGGTTCATGATAGCAATGGTGGTGATGATGACTATGTTGTTGTTGTGGTATTGGAAGTGGATAGTGAAGAGGGTATTTCAAGTATGTGGGTTTGACTTGTAAAGTTGAATTGAAAATTGTATAGTAATAAATGACACTGGGGACCTCAGAAGCTACAAATGAGCTTCCACCAAGATATAAATAAAACTAACTTATCGATAGACCTTATCCGCTGAATGTTTGTGCAGCACCAATGAAACGAAACAGAGAACCTAGTAGTCCACCAGAAAAGGAGTTCAGCAAACACCCTTGGAGAGAAAAGTTTGTGTACTCAAGTATAGTTTTGAGTCAAATGGAGATTGTGTAATGATGCTGTTCTTCTGGTGACTATTTCCTATCGTCGCTATCGTCATCATCAGAATCATCATCAACATCATCATCAAATTCATCTGCGGTCTCTTCTTCCTCTACTCACCCTGCTATCAATACAAAATTCAGAATTCCCACGATTCCTTATTAATACTGTAGTCATTAATTAACCCATGGCTCCACTTTAAATTCAGGATTCCCGCTAAAGAATTCTCGGGGAGCCTTAGCCTTAAACTTCTCGCAATGAACGTCCACACCACACCCGGCCAGCACAATCATTGATTCAATCAATCAATCAATCAATCTCTTGATTTGATTTCCTAATAATCTGATGATGCACTTTGGAGATTCTTGAGATCTCCTGTATGTGAACATCAACTTTTTATCCCAACCTTACCAACCGAATCATCACATATTCAAGCAAACTTTTCTCGGTGTATTGATACCCAAGGCTTAGTTGGAAAGGGAAAATAGTTTGTCGGTAATAGGAGTATCGGCGTATCAATTATCTTTGAAGGAAGTGGGTTGTACCAAAAACCACATCAGGTATTCAACCATACAATTCGGTACCGCGAAACGAATCTTCCAAAAGGACGGAAACCTTCAATTCAAATTACTATTTTACAAAAGCTTGTCGGCCAAACGACAATGACCAGATGTCTATTCTTTCCATTGAACGCTTTTGTTAATCTACTTCCTTAATCTACATCACTTCCAAAACTATTACTCTTCGACAGCCCTCTGCCAACCTGGGATTTCGATATTGTCCAATCTGGACATATACGCTCATTTCCGCGATTTGATTTACAACTAAAGCATATATTCCATGGCTACTGCGCCAATGACGACAGATCCATCGAGGCTGTCATTCGCAAAGGTGCGCAAATCCACTGGATATTCCTCAGCCCACTTGATGACTTGTCGCCGGTGGACCTTGGCTTCTCTATCATATCTAAGTCCTTTGCTAACAAATATCATCGATAGGTTGCCGCCTCAGCTGGGAAAGATAATGTAGCTCTCGCTTCATTCGCAAAAATTGCTGCTTCTTCAACTTCTGTACGAGATACGAGACCTGAGAACATTGCTCCAACTGTACATGAAAACAAAGATACAAACATGCCTAGTGCTACACGCAATGATACTGGCAATATGACCACTCTCAAAGAGACGGGCCCATCGACAAACGATCAATCCTCAAAGAAGGGGATGATTACCGAGAGCAAACCTTTGGCTGCTAAGAAAGAATCGGATTTGGCAGATGCGGTTAAAGCGATGCACATCCGTGATATCACACCAAGCCTTGTTGTCAATGGTTCAGGAATTGCACCTCCTACCCACAAACGAGATCTGGGAGAAGGATTCCCAGAAGATCCATTTCAGAGAACAGAATCTGGGTCCGACCTAGGAACGAAGCCTCCAAGTTTGGATGGAAAGAGCATTACTTCAGGTACAACATTCGCTTTGGATGAGAAGGAATCTTTACGTCCTGATGACAGCGCGAGCGTCAAAGCAGCCGAAGATGATGATACATTTTCAGGTCGCAGTTCTATTGTTGCTAGTTCTAGAATTGGATCTGAAGCAGCTGCAAGAGCTTATCGTGCACAATTCTATGAGGCCCCTGATCGACGTAGTATACAACTCATGCAAGAGCGCCAAACTCAGGGTATTGTTACCCCTCAAAGTGGGTCGTCTGGACAGCAAACTACGGACGATAAGTCCAAGCCGCTTGTAGGCCCATCAGGTTCAACTGACGCAGCATTCACACTCTTCTATCGTCAGACGCCTGATGAAAAACTTTTGGAGGCATTGGAATCGCCAAAAGACCGCATTTTTCTCCTTCGTCTCGAGAAGGATGTTATTGAGTTTGTGAAGGACTCCAAGTAGGTTTCAAGTTCCGGATGACCATTTTTACTATCCTAACTAACACACTCACAGGGAACCCTTTATTGATCTCCCACCGTGTAACTCATTTTGTAGAATGCTGACTCATAAGTTGGCGGATTATTACCACATGACACATCAAGTTGATGCTGTAGTTGGAGCAGTCCGTATCTTCCGAACACCATTTTGCAGGATTCCGCCATCACTAACAAGCATTTCCAATCCTCCTACCACTGGAAACACCCCACCTCCCAATCTACCTGCAATGAAGATCATGCGCAGAGGTGGTGATGGTGATACTGGACCGAGCCCCTCGAAAGCTACTTCCGAGACTGGAAGCGATAGCAAAGAAAAGGCACAGTCCGCTAAAGAGAAGTATGATATCTGAATTCCCTTCAATTAACTTGAGACTGACTCCGGTTGAAGACTTTCGCGAGAGGAGCGAGAAGCAGTTTATCTTGCGGCCCGGGAACGAATTTTCGGCAAAGATGATAAATCTGGCGAGGCCACACCAGGTAAGTTTCCAAAGAAGTTTCCTTGAGGTCCTATCGGATTGCTAATCGTAAAATAGAAACTGACGAGGGTAACGAGATGTCACGTTCCAGCTCTGTCTCCACAAAGGATAAAGGCAAGAGGGGCAAAGTTGGAAAGCAGCGTCGTGACGACTCTGAAAGCTTCGACGTTCGATCTCAATACACTCCATACTTCCCACAACAACAAAATCAGCCAGCTTGGATTCCCACCCAGAATTTCGGCGCAATGGGAGTTCAGCAATACAATGGTGTCATGCCAAACAATTATCAAAACCAGATGCAACCTCAATATGCTCCACCTCCGCAACCATTTAATCCTGCTATGATGAGCAATGGAAATATGCAATCATACAACAATATGACACCACCGGTAAGTCAAATCATTCTTTAATGATAACAACATAGTTTTACTGACCATTCATAAGCAATTTCCTCCGCAAAGTCAGCCACGTTACCAACCACATAGTGCTCCAATCACGACTTACGGTACGCCGACACAATCCCCTCAGCCTCCGCAGCAATGGGTCCCACAAAATCAATATCCAGCGGGCCAGTATCAACCGCGAGGACCTGTTGCAGGAGGACCACCTAGCACTATCCCGTACGCTTTTGGACAACTGCCCAGCACGGTAAACCCAGCCGATCCTAAAAGTCAACACCCAATTCCAGGAAGTTTTATCAACAGACACGCATTCAATCCAAAGACGCAATCGTTTGTCCCTGGCAGTCAAGGTCTTCCTATCCCGCAGCCCATGTCTCATCATGGATCTCCCCACCACGGTTCCCCACACCATGGATCTCCTCATCTCTCTTACAGCAACTTCTCTCCGCCCCAGCAACAGTACGGTGCTGGAATGGGCTATAGCATGGCGAGACAAGGGTCTAATAGCTCTTTACCCTCGTATCATGCATCCCCACACATGGCACATAGGCCAATGATGCATCAGAATATGCCACAAGGTCTTCCTCAAGGTCACCTTCAAGGCTTACCACAAGGTTTGCCACAAACTATGCCACATGGTATGCCACTAGGAATGCCACAGGGTATGGTTTCCTCCAATGGTCAAGTTGGAAGCCACCTTCCTAACTTTGGCAACCCGGCCACTTTACCTCCAAAGCCTCCAACTGGTGTTTAGGTGTCTCTTGAAGATTGCGGATATGTTCTGTGATGAATAAACGGTGGCGTATGGTAGCATTGGTGGAGTTAGTGGGAAATATGGGCATTAAAACGAAAGTCATTTTAAGTACCTGGTTTATATTGGCTGATAGACCTATGATCACAAATACAATATATTTGATTACACTATTTACTTTGCACTGATTTCGAAAGCACTGAACAAGTGTATAATATAAATACTTTGTCTGGGAGGCTATGTTAATACCGAGGTAGGTATGAAGTAAGATAAACAGTAGTGGAACAGCTACTGATAGAAAAGAACATGATTGAGATCAGTATTATGCAAAGTGCTCAAGGCTTAATAATTATACTAACAAATGATAATTGAAGTGATTGTGATTGGCTAGAGTAGTTCATAATTCTATTATACAGTACGAACTATATCTCCAACGAGATGCTAAACGAGGAGAAAGAGGAGGCGAGTGGAACACGCCCTTGTGCTTCTGAGGAAACGTCCCTCCGTCCTCTTCTGCCCGAATGTGATCGTTGTATTTGAGCTTATATTATCTACGTCTCGAGCTCTGCGGGTGTTAGCCCACGCTCTGCTCAACCAAGTTTGGATAGGTTGTGGTTCTGGCATCTCTTGGTTGCTAGGACTTTTTGCTGCGAGTGGAAGGGCGGAAGGGCTTGTGTAGTATGTGGTGTGTAATTTATTGATATTTTTCTTACTTCACTGTCTAGTGTCATGATGACTAGCAGCTAAACTGCGTTTTGAATTGGGCTCTGTTGTTCCGTAATCTCAATCACAAGAGTATATTGAAGCGTTTGCAGGTGATGAACTATAGCCTACATCTCCCCCCGATGAGAGCATCGATCATGGTAACACACATAATGACATGAACCATAATTTTGAAATTCTATAAGAATTGGCCTAGAGCCTACCTGAACGCCATACTTTTCCATCCACATGCACAAAGTCTGTAAATTATGGAAAGGCTTTATTTTTATCATCGTCTACTACTCAGCGGATTCCCGGGGCTCTCTTGGCTCTCGTGTTTGTCCACCTCCTCTGCCGCCTCCTCTTCCTCCACGCTTACCACCTCTCTGTCCACGTTGCTCGGACTTCTCTCCTCCTTCTCCACTACCGGCTGCGGCAAGAACATCTGAGCCTCCCATGGTAAGAGTTGCGGTTGCCAATCTTTGAGAAAGTTCGATTTGGGTGCGGATGGTATTTGCGAGGTAAGATACGACCAGGACATCTTGGATGTGGTTGTTGAAGTCACGTTCAATATCTGCAGCATCAACCTTTGGTGCTAAGGACAATGCGTTCATGAGGAATTGACCAAGAGCATTTGAGGGTTCTCTCTCCTCGTCCAAGACTGAGCTAACATATTCGGATACCCTTTCCAAAAGGTCGAGGGTCTGGTCAACGGCTCGCTCCAAACCTTCAATATCAGAAACTACTGGTGCAGCACGGCTCTCGCTGTCCTTGGCGCCAGAGATTAACTCCAAACCACTCTTCTCAGATTCACCATATCGGATCTCGTATGGTACTGGGATGAAAAGACAGCTCTCAGCTGCCCTCTCAGCATTTACACCAACAGGTGCACTAATATATGCCTTTGCCTCGATCTCCTTTCCAGCCTCAGTGCTGACCGTCAAATGAACAGCTGGGTGAGGGAAAGTACCGGTCTCAGGACTGGCGAAGAAGTTTTGGATCAAGGCGCTGAAGCTGTTGAGTTCAAGAGAAGTCGTATACCATCCCAAAAGAACTTCGCGAGGATTGGCCTTCAATTGTAAAGCGAGCATGTTCTTTTGGTACTCGACGTCGACTTCGACTTGGTCTTCGGTCTCGGTGTGGGGAATGGCGAAACAATTGCGGACTTCGCATTCCATACCATCTTCAGAACGGATTCCGAGGAGGGCTCCGATAACACGGGGGGTTTGTGTCACACTGGTATCGCGACGGATGGCATGATCGAGAATCGAGAATACGGCCTATTATTGTACGGATTAGTCTCTGCAGAGTAGAATTTTAGGCCAGGGAAAATATCGTACTTGGGGTTGAATTATGACATTTAAAGGTGCGGTTGTGGGCTGGACACCAATGGAAGCGGGGGCGAGTGGCCGCGCGAGGTGAAGGAAGGACTGTGTACCGACTGCCATGCTGGGCTAAAAATTATTCGGTATCGAGTCTGGCAGACGAGTGTTGGTGGTAGGGTCTGAGATGGGGATGGGCTCGTCGTCGTCGATTGCAAACCAGTTGCGCAAGTGGGATTTTTGTGTGGGCGCGGCGCAAGGATCTAATTTCGCGCTAAGATAAGCTTTCGTTAAAAGTGTAAAGAATTTCCCCTCGATTTTTAGTTATATTGTGGTTAAGTGCCTGAATAAAGTCTGGAAATATTTGTAAGTTAGTTATTTAGGTTTGGCTTTCTAAGAGGGGTATAATGAAAGTTCTCTTAATATTGTTCTTGACAATAGCATTGATTTGAAAGCTCATGATCTTTGATCCGAAACTTTTTTTCCTGAGCCCTGATGACGCTAAGATAAGGATTCGCCAGAACTTTTTTTGTACCAGCCATTGAGCATTAGCCATTGAGTGTTGCGGTTTACATGAATATTTTACAACGCAAAAAATGGCATTTGGGCAGAGAAATACATCTAGAGGAGGTCGCGGTGGTGGTGGTGGGGGAAGTAGCTTCAGAGGTAGAGGAGGTAGCAGAGGTGGTCCACGAGGAAGGGGAGGAATGAGGGGAGGAAGAGGTAGAGGTAGAGGGAGACCTGTATTTGACAGTGCTAGACTAGCACAAAAAGAAGAGTAAGTATTTTTCGATTGTTGAGAAAATGCAATTGGCTCATTTATACAGGGACAAGGAAAGTGATTCCGAATCCGAAGAACCAAGTCAGGATGAAGCAAGTGAAGAGGAATCCAGCGACGACGATGATGATGATGATGAGCCAGTGCCAGCTGTAAAGTCTTATACAGCTTTGATGCAGAGTTTTACTCGCGATTCGGCGCCACAAGCAAAACGGAGGAAGCTCAATGTTGACAAGGAGGAAAAAGGAGAAGAAGAAGACGCAGATTTAATAGACGAGGATACGAACGATGCGGATCTAGTTGAGGAGGAAGAGGAGGGACCCGAAACTGCAACAGATGGTGCACTCGAGGATGATGAAGAAGAAGAAGACAAAGCGGATCCATTCGAAGCTCATTTTGCCAATCCAGACGATAACATATTATCAAGGAGGCTACAGCATTTGGAAAAAGGGCAATGGGCTCTGAGAATGTCATCACTTGCAAAGGTTGGAACGGCTATCACGAGCGTCCCCGGTGACGGTCAACCCAGGGCTATGAAAGCAATGACTATCAGTAGCCCAGAGGGTCTCAAGTTGAAACAAAAGCTGGCAAATGTCATCAAGAAACAGCGCCCTATTTTCGATGCATTGGAAAAGTCTATAGCTCCTCTTGTATTCGGCTACCAGGATTTACTATTCACTGAGCGAAATACATCTAATGCAGAAAGTCTAAGAAGACTGACTTGTCTTCACGCTGTCAATCATGTGTTCAAGTAAGTCCCACCCCTGTTACAATGCAAGCACAATCTAACATATCCAGGACCCGAGACCGTGTTATCAAAAACAACTCTCGTCTTGCCAGAGAAGATAGTAGCGATGATCTGGAACTTCGAGATCAAGGTTTCACAAGGCCTAAGGTTCTAATGCTTTTACCCACTCGCGAATCTTGCGTCAGAATGGTTGACATGATTACTTCACTGTGCGAGCCAGAGCAACAGGAAAATCGAAAGAGATTCAATGATTCGTTTGTCGATAAAGAAGAGAATTATTATACTGATAAACCAGAAGACTTCCGGGAACTTTTTGCAGGTAACGATGATGATATGTTCCGTCTTGGTCTGAAATTTACTAGAAAAACCATCAAGTATTTCTCTCAATTCTACAATTCTGATATCATTTTCGCAAGTCCTCTTGGTCTCAGAATGGCCATCGGAGATGAAGATGCGAAGAAAGTAGACCACGATTTTCTTAGTTCGATTGAGATGGTCATTGTTGATCAAGCAGATGCTCTTCTCATGCAGAACTGGGAGCATGTGGAATTTATTTTCGACCATCTCAACCTTCAGCCAAAGGAAGCTCATGGCTGCGATTTCAGTCGTGTACGAAGCTGGTATTTGGACGATAATGCCAAATACTTCCGTCAAACTATTGCAATGTCGGGTTTCAATACACCAGAGCTTCAAACTATGTTTTATACTCAGTCTCAAAACTGGGAAGGCAAAGCTAAAGTCACCTCTACTTATCCAGGAGCTATTCAAGAACTGGGATTGAAGGTTAAACAAACTTTCTCCCGAATTGACACAGAATCAATCGCCTCGGATCCACAATCACGTTTCGAATATTTCACATCAGCAATAATTCCTACTTTAACCCGTAGAAGCAAGGATAGCTCAGGAACTCTCCTCTTTATTCCTTCGTACATGGATTTTGTTAAAGTAAGAAATTATTTCTCAACATCAGCTACCACGAGCAGTCTATCATTCGGCAGTATATCAGAATACACGACACCTAAGGAAGTTGCTAGAGCTAGGTCCCATTTTTACAGTGGAAGACATAATGTTTTACTATACACAGAAAGAGCACATCATTTCCGAAGATATCAGATCAGGGGTGTTAAAAAAGTTATCATGTATGGAATACCCGAGAATCCAATCTTCTACAAGGAAATAGTAGGAGGATATTTGGGCAGAAGTGTAAGAGAAGGTGACTTGGAGCCTGGTGCTGGAAGTGTACGGGCTGTGTTTTCAAAATGGGATAGTATGAAGTTGGAAAGAATTGCGGGCACTGAAAGAGTGAACAAGATGATCAAGGAGAAAGGCGATACTTTTGATTTCTTATAATACCCTTTCTAGTTTACTTAATTTAGGTCTTGCTATCTTTTCTTGTAATATAGATATGGAAAACGCCTTTCCATCAAAGATGCAAACCATACTTCTATACATATACATTTGGTACTTTATGAACGCAATTTGCTCATGACCATTTTCTTTGATTGGGTTTCCGTCAACCCTCGTTCCATTTTCCATATCCACCTGAAGACATTGACTTTCGTAACAAAGACCCATCTTTGCTTCGAGACAACTTGAGAAGAATAGATGTCCCGTTGGCTATGGCGCATGATCTCAAGTCTTTGATTTGTACATTCCTCCGCATTTCATCACGTAGTCCCTGAAAACCCGTCCTATCCCGATACCAGTCTACCAAGAAACCACATCCCGTCTGTCCAGACATCCTTCCATCCAGCCCAAGCCAATCTCCTAAATGAATCCACCCCACCTCCTCTCCCTCCTCTTCTTTCCCTCCAATACCCCCTCCTCGCCCTTTCCATCAAACGGCACATCCACTCTCTTCTTGTTCCTGCCCAATCCCAATTTTCCCACCCTCGCTACAAATCTCTCAAAAGCCTCTTCTCCCCCCTCGCGAAACTGCGTTACTTTCTCAATATTCCTCTCGGTAATATCATTCATTGGGATTTTCTCTTTACGGAATCGCGCAACAGTTCGGGCGGTCATCGCCCAGCGGGTATCCCTGGGTCCATCGACGAGCTCGAGAATAGCGGACGGTGCTTGATCTTCTTTCAGAGGCTCAATGCGGAGAACACGGGTGTAGCCTCCGGGGCGCGAAGCATATCGCTCGCGGAGGGGTCCGAAAAGTTTGGGGAGGAGATCGTGGGGGGTCTGGGTGTGGATTAGTATTTATTTATATATGCACTGATGTTTTTATTCAAGAATAGAGAAATCAATTTCTCCCAGGAAATAAAGTAGACAACTTACAAAAAATATACTCAATGCCTTTCTCTTCGAGGCCTCGGTATTTTTCTTGCCCAACGTAATCAAATGTTCCGCTAATTTCTGCGCTTCCTTCGCTTTGGGATATGTGGTTGAGATGGATTCATGAGTGAACAGAGAAGTGACGAGGTTTCTGAGGAGCGCTTGACGATGCGAAGAGGTGCGGCCAAGATGGCGATATTTCATGCGTCCGCCTGCCATTTTCGTAGAGGGGAAATACAAGAGGTGGAAGGGTTCGTAGGTGTTTAATGTGGTGGAGGGAGGGGAGAGGGGGAGCAACACAGACGAGGCGGAAAAGTTTTGGCGAGGCCGAAAGATTGGAGATTTCGGGCCGTGACGACAAACGTCAAAATTCTTGGAGGGCCTTGCTTTATCTGTTTCTATCAACGACATAATATTTATCCTAGATAATTTCATCCCGCGACGCTCTTTCGGGCTGGTAATTTGGCAATTGATTTTTTACTTCTCCTATTTATTTAGAGAGATAACTAGTCTTTTATAATATCAAACAGCGCTGCCTGCGCACTTGTATAAGACAATATGGGTTTTACTACTGGTTTTGTATGGTTCCCTCTTAGCTTTCTCACTCCAGCTTCCCGCTCTCTACAAATTCATGAATACTTAACTAATATACTTTCAAGACCGGCGGCGTAACCCTAACCCTCTCTCTAGCCTACCTAACCGTCCTGGCACACCAACGCAACCGCGCTTCTCAATCCCTCCACCTCTCCCACCAATCCCAAGTCTTAACCTCCCTCCTCGAAAAACAACCCATCCCACCCCCAAAGTCGCGCTCAGAACTCGCCCACGAAGAAAGAAGTACGCTTATTGAAGCTGCGAAGGATAGATGGAACGCCGAGATTGAGAATTCCGTTCGGTGGATCCAGAGGACGGATTGGGAAGATGTGAGATGGAGAATGGAAGGCGCGGTTAGCAGGGCACTAGGGTTGGGGTTGGAGAGAAGCAGAGAGGGTATTCAATATGGGGAAGAGATCGCAGGGGAGAAATTGAGAGATTTTAGGGAGGAAGCTAGAGAGGACGCAAAGAGAGTTGCTACGGGCGCTGTGGCGGGCGTTGAGAGAGGTGTTGCAGGGACGAGGGGAGCAATCGATGCTTCTTCGCAAAAGCTGAAGGAGGCGGAGGCTAGAATTCCATCGTATCCTGAAATCGAACGGAAAGCAGGAGGAACAATTGATGCTGCTCGTGGTGAAATCCGCAATGCAGTTTCTCGAGGCATTGAAGCCGGCAAAGGATATGCGCAAAAAGCAGGTGCCGCAGTCGGAATTGCAGAGCAGAAGATTGAGGAAAGGGTCGCGCTTATCTCGGGTTCGAGTAAATCTGCGAATTCAGATGTGGAGAGGGCTTTGAGAGAGAGATTCGAGGGTCCATCTCAGTTGGATAAGAGCGTGCAGCAGGCGCTTGAGGAGAGATATACACCAATCAATCAGAGGGATAATGGAACTTTGAGGGGTATATGAGGTATTGAGACGAAGTGGATAAAAGGGATGAGTAGTTAAGCGAAGAAGGAATGGAGGTGTACTATCAAAAGTGTAAATAGATAAAGTTCTCTGCTATGCTATGATATGCTTGCTGAGTGTGCTATAGAAAAGTTGATTTGCTTTTGGCTCAGCTCAGGTGGACTTAAGAGGGGTATTGGGGACTTTGTAATACAATGCAAGTACTATTTCCTCAGTCGCCCTTGCGGGCTGACTTTGTGTCGTTCATAATATAATGCATACAACTCATACCGAAATGTACATTTACATTACACATATTTAACGAGGATCCTCAGATGCAGAGAGGCGAGTTTTGGGGCAGGCTGTAATGCTGCTTATCACTTTGAGCGATCTCATTTCACAGTCATGAAGCAAGACACACATCTCGAAAACAAAAGTTATTCTGACTATTCTGTGGCACTATCTGCAACCAACCTCACAGTAGAGCCAAAAAGCTAAACTGTTAGATGGCTAAACGAAATGTCAAGATTTAACTCAACTATCAAGACGTCCGCTATGAAATACAAAAGTTGGCAAAATTTCTGTCCAACCACGTTGCAACGGCACACCAGATGCAAATTTGACTACTTTCGTCGAACGTCATCTTCGTATCCTAGCATAAACTATCATATCATAATCCCAATAATGGCCTTGGTATTAGCACAACGACACATAGATCTCTTAGATCTTTCACCACAAATCATCCTGCACTGGCTGTAATACAAATCATCTGACGAGGCCTCTTTATGGTGTCTCGAAATAATCCTTGGGATCATTGGGGCTCGAGCTCGGACCGACCTCAACCAGAAGTCGCTTCGCTCCTTTTTTGACAGTCCTCATAGAAGTTGGAGTTGAGATGGAATTAGCTCGGTGAAGAGAACAACCTCTAGGAAATTCATCGCTCGATTCCATTGCATTGCTATCGAATGAAGCTCCACGTCCGTTTTTTTGTTTCATGCCATCTTTGGGTAAAAGATGACGAGAAGAACGGTCAAAAGATGAAGCCTTATTTTCATTGTCGAATTTCATCTCGTTACCTGATGAAATGCGGCGAGAAGACGAACAGGCGATGGCACCGGAAGCACGTCTGTTAGTAGGAGTGGGTGGTTGTACTGAGAGCTTGGAACCACTGCGACGGCGGTGAGAGCGAGCCTCGACGTAATCGTTGTCTTCGTCGTCGTCTTCCTCATAGTAGGGTGGATCACCGTCGCTTACATAGCTAGATCTGTTTGATATTAGTACAATATTTTTGGCTATGGGATGAGTAGGTCCTACGTCTCTTCAGGCTCTTCGGCATCATCCTCGACAACAACTTGCTTTCCCTTATACTTCGATGACGCCTCGTAATATCCTGGTGGATCACCATCACTCAGATCACCAGAGCTATTCAATGTCAGTCTAATATTTCCTGCTTACGGGAGAAGGAGGTCCTACTTCTCTTGGACAACATCTTCAACAGCAACTTCCTTCCCCTTAGACGAGACTTGCTTGGACGCATTCTTGATAGCTAGCTTCGAAGCGATCATAGGAGGAAGTGCGTCATCCTCATGCACTCCCGGAACATCCCAGTCTCTCTTTCTAACGTATGAATTAAACTTCCTCAGTCCGTCAAGGCACTTGCTAAATTCCTCGCCCATGACAGCTTTATTCATTCCGATCATATGCTTCCATTTGGGACCTTTCATCATCACACAATCATTGGCGTCTTGAGCAGCCTCCATTGCAGCTTGCATAGCTTTGAGATATTCCATGGTTCCGTAGAAGAGTAGATCCGATGGGTTCTTGATTGTAAAAAGACGAGCGTATGGATCGGCGTCGGGACGAGCAGCTCGCTTCTTGATATTGGCAATTGCAAAATATCGATCCTTCCAGTCAGCCAATGTGAGGAGGTGTGCATGAAGATCGGTCCATCCATCGTAGATCTGCACTTGGTAGGCACGGAAATACTGAGCGAGATCGCGTGAGGTGAATTTGTCTGGGATTATTAGCATGAAATTGTGTACAGAAGCAAGGGAAACTTACCATCAAGCTCAGAATACAATACAACAACAATTGACTCAACTCCAACCCAAACAGAGATCAACGACTTCTCAATCTCGCATAAAACCTTGATCAACTCAGTAGAATCAGTTTCCGGCTTAGCTGGGTGTTTAATTGTAGGATCGAGAGGACGAAGCCACTTAGGTGTCTTGGTAGACATGCTGATTTGTGGACGTTCGTATTCATCCTTCCAAATTCGGTCGTAGACTTCCTTGGGAACCACACTGAATAGTGCATGCGACAAAGTAAAGTATTCTCCTTCCTCGGCCAACTTATAAGCTTTCTCGTCAGTGACCATAGATTCCGGTGGAGCCTTTGGAAAGACCGGAACGGTTAGGGCGTCCAGTATTGCTTGTTTGACTTCTGCCTCACTCATGATCCTATCGCTCTGGTCTTTGAAAGGGTCCTGCTCATAATCGCTAGGAATTTGAGCAAGATCAGAACCGACTTGTCGATCGTCGAAGTGTGTAGTTTTTTGGTCATCGGCATGCTTAGCATAACCTTCACTTTTTCCTTTTCCTTTTCCTTTTCCTTTTCCTCTACGTTTAGCTCTGCGTTTCTTCTTAGCTTCACCAGGTGCAGCAGCCTCGACAGGTGTGCCAATCTCAGTACACTCATCAATTTCCATTGCGTCGTCCTGAGCAGATGCACTAGCCTCAACGAAGTCATCAGTCTCAGCGGATTGAACGACACCAACATGCTTAGCAGATGATGTTGATTGTACAGGAATTCTCTGTTTACGGCCGGAGCTTTTTCTTGGAAGTTCGTCGTTTGCAAGTTTGCTGCTTTGTCCATTGTCCTTTGGGGATGGAATCACTTGCAATTTATTTTGATTGTCAACAAATTCGTCTTTGATGGAATTTTCAATCTGAGCCTTGCCGTTTAACATAGATCCTACATAGTCTGGAGAAGGAGCGCGCTCATTACCATTATGATAACGATTTTCATGTGCACAAACCCTGTCTCTTCCTGCAACGTCCTGGTTGATTCTAGAGGAAGCAAGGCCAGCACTGATTTGATTAATATGCCGTGGCAAATCGTCGAGCTTGGGTGTGGGTGATCGAGACATAGTTAAATCGATTGTAACTCGCTCTTCAAATTTACGCTGCATAGCCTTAGCTTCAGCTTCTGGCTCAGGCTCAGATCCTACCTCTGATTCCGCAGAATCGGCGGGTCTGAAGGTTGAAGAACTCGCATGATTTCCTTTGCCTGGGCGACACTCAACGTGGCTTTGCTTATCTTCCATTAAATCCGGCATATCTTCGTCCTGCTCAATTGATTTTTGTACCTGTTCATATTCTCCAGTCAAATCAATTGCATCCCGCATTTCCTCCTCTCCAGTCAAATCAATTGCGTCCCGCATTTCTTCGTCGGATTGAGTGTGTGTGGTGGGGTTGTTAAAAGCCGGAGAAGCTGCACCAGTGATCACATTTGGTTTCGTCAAATCAATCAAATCTTGCATCTCTTCGTCGGTCCGAATGTGCGATCCAGGTCTCTCAGTTTCAAAATTCGCAGGAGTCGCGTGGTCGACAACCTTCGGAGACTGTGCTATATCTCCCGTGTCCTGCATCTTTGTATCGATCGAATTTCGCCTGTCGGGACTGTGTTCTTCGGCAACTGGAGACGCCGCTTTAATTTCCTGAATTGTAGTCTTTTTATTGGCCGGAACCGAAGCCGGTCCAAGTTCCAGAGCCGTGGGAGAATCAGTAACAATATTGAAACCATTGTCAGACGGAGAGGTCGAACGTCTACCATATGGTCCACGGTAATCACTTTCTTGTCCACTGTCGGGAGGAGAAGGGGTCAAATTATACGGTATAGCACCAGGAGTATGGAATGTTCCGATCTCTTCGGGGTCAATCACAGACGGTTGGCTTGCTGCAAGCACAGATCCAGGTTTTGCTTCTGTTAGAGTAGGAGCGGATGTCTGTGCTGACGACAAACTCTTTAGAGCTGAGAGAGAAGATCCCATCTTTGGGGCTGATGATTCCAATGCCGGTCCGACAGCTTCCTTCATTTTGTTAACGCATGAAGTTTGTCCAATTGAAGGTAGATATAATTCTCGATAATACTTTGTAGCAAGTGATGTCTCGGAACTAGGGATTGAAGCATTACCTTGGAGCTTATCTGATAATGTGTCAACCTTTTTTGACTGTTGTGTTTGACGATGAGACTTTTCTGACTTTTGATTGTTGTGATTCGAAGGTAAATTCTGAAATTTTTGCGGATGGTCAAGCTTGAAAGTTGCATTGGGTTTCGCAGTTGAACTTGACTTTGTTATCAAAGCAGGCCTTGCGGTCGAGTCTTGATGCTTATCGTTAGAAGTGGTTATCGTAGTCAAGCTTGACTTTGAAGTTGAAGTCGGCTTGGTTGTCGGAGCGAGTTTTACGGTCGAATCCCGAATCTTATTGCTAGAAGAGGATCCTTTGGTTTGGCTTGGCTTGGAAGAATCAATTCTCTCTTGGGTGCTTGTACTGGAGGTTTCCTCATCTTCTTTAGGAAAGTGAGTATTTATACAAAGCGCACCTCTATTGAGACGACCTCGGAGGTGTTGTTGAGCTTGTCTCTCACGAAGCTCAAGATCTTCAGCATCAGATCGAGGTCCCATATACCACTTTAAATACCTGAGATTATGCAGCGGACCTGTTTCTTGAGCTTTGTTGTCAACCAAAAGGGCGGGAGAGCTTTCTTTGGCTGGCTTGGAAGTGGTTCCCGGCTTGTGATCCTTGAGTCTTCTTCCTTCACCTTGCGACACTTTTGGTACATGCGCGATTGGGTTATTTCTAACGCGTCCAGTGGCAGCACCATCAGCAGTATTGACTTGACTCGGGATTGGCAAGGACACATGAGGAGTCCGAGTACCAAGTGGACGGTGTGATGATGCCGAAGCATCAAGAGATATTTGTGGTGCGCCGAGGGTGTCAATAGAATTGAGCAAGCTTGGTGATGGATTCGATCGTGGTCCTCCTGTTGATGATGAACCTCCACTTGCAATGTTTTGATGCTTGCGGCGACGACGTTTGTCAACCATCATTAATGTTGATGTGCAAAGGGATTTTCGAGTTTCTCCACCTTAGAATCAGAATATTGTTGAGTTCAGTTGTAAGTTCAAGGAAAATGATTTGATTGTGTGTGGGGGAAGAAAATGTGATATTTTGTTGATTTTGAGTGAAGGGGTTATGAGTGAATTTCGGGTACCCTCGGAACATATGCCAATTACTCCAGAGTCCAGACTTATTATTCCCCGTTTGAGAACTTCCTTCCTAGTATCCTTGGGCCTCTTGTCCAATCTTTGTGGTTTGTTATAAACTATTTGAACCTATTGATCATTTGGGAAACAAACTCTTCTATTTTATAAGACCTTATTCCTGTTGGAAAAGGGGTGTGAAGTCTATCATAGAGGTCCTAGGGCACTGAGCAAGTTTATATGGCTTGCTTGGAGGTTATTCATCTGAGATTAGTATACAAGGTAGGCAGGTGCTCCCCTAGCAGTACTAATCTTTTCATTCAATATTCATACTTTAATAAAAGGGATTACTAATAATAATAATAATAATAACAAGTGATCATAGCCAATTATACTGCAATTGACACTCATGCCAACCACATCAACCATACTGTGCCACGCTTGAATCTACCGTATCAAATAAATATTGATCAAATTCTAATGAATAAAGTTGAAATCCAGTTTGTTTTTAGTCGTCTGTTGTTAATTCAAATCCTCCTTCCAATTTTTGTCAAAAAAAATGAGTGCAACATGGAAGGATTTCCAAGTTCCCATACATTTCTTGGATGGAAACGTGAATCAAAACTCTGGTCATAGATGAACAATGCAGGATTCTTGTAGACTGTCTCCAGAAGTTCATTATTGAATCCATGTGGAATTTCAAACTTGCCATCTTCTCACAGTCACCAACCATTCGATTTCCACTCGTTAATAACCGATTCTCTTTTGACCTAGAGTTCATTGTTGTCTAGATAGTTGGACCCATAATCAATGAGCTGGTTTCTTTTCCATAATCACCTCACAACTACTAACTACTGCCGACTCACAACTTGCCCAGAGATAGCTTCAAAGTTCAAGAGCACCAGTTTTACCTCATCCAGCATCTTTTGCATTTCACAAAGCTTGGTTGGCTGATATGAATACCTATCATCAAACAATGTTGAAGCTTATGAGCCTTTGAGATAAAAAGAGGTGTTCCAAGCTAACCTTTGGAAATACATACAAAGCATTCTCAAACTTCTTAATTTAGAATTCTTATCAAACAAAGGGCCTTACTATCTCAAAATTATCTCAAGATATTTCTTCCAATATCTGCTAGATGACACTCTTTTGGTTTTATTCTTCAAAATCGATAATAAACTCGAAGACATGGCATATAACGCATTCCAGAGCACTGTACTTTTGGATGGCGATGAGGATGACTCGAATTTTGTCAACCAAGCTTATAGGCCATGTAAAATACTCTATCTAATGACCAGTACTGGTGTGCATTCGCTACGAAACGTCGGTCCAAATTATCGCATACTACTTGTCAAATCAAGATTCGTTGCTTCACTATTGAAGAGAGGAGTCATCCCTCATGATGGTCATGACTGTGCATTATCTTATGGAGGTAGAGAATTAGCAGATGATGAGACGTTGGAAAGCTGTCGCGTTGGTGATGAAGCAACTGTTAATGCTGTTGTGTGGGAACAGAATCCTAATTTGCCTGGCTTCTCGGGCCATGCAATACACTCAAGCTTGAAGATCAGACATGAATATGAGCAGAAGACTAAGCAATCCAAACACAGTAGAGTTTCATTAGACTTAGCAGAGGAAGGTGAATATGAGGATCGAGTACTTTGGCGTGCTCCAGCTTCGAAAAAGCAAAAGTCGCTTAGGTTTTCTGATCAAGATGATGCTATTTCTCATCCGCCAACATCTTCGCGTTCGTCGTCGCCTTCACAAAATCCAAGTCCAGAACATCATATCATGTCAGGTGCATTAGGACCAACAGACAGCCCTCTGGAATTTCATGATAGTTTGGTCCGAGATATTTCACCAAGAGGTCTTCAACGAAGACAACCTCTTGGAGAATTGTCAGGATCCATAATGCCACAAACACCTTTGCGATCTCCGACTTTTTACAGTAATTCCGCACGAGAACCAGAAACACCCATTCGTGCTTCTTATGATGCTTTTAGAAATCCTATTACGCCCCGAGATGCTTCTAGAAGAGATCTTCATAGAAATTATAATCTGTTAAGACATTCGGACAGAATTCCACACCGCAGAATGGAATACGGTTCCTCTTCAACTGTAGTACGTTTTTATCCGAAACTTCAAAATGGACAATCACTGACGTCCCATTCTTTTCCTGCAGTACGAAACAACGTGTATGTTCGACCTCCGGGATCTGGACCAACATCTGGATCCTTACCTCCATCGTCGCTTCATGGAGCGGTAAATCCCGTTCACGTAATAACAACTCTGACTCCCGACCCATATCAACCATTATTTCCTCCTACTTCTCCGGAGATACCTTCATTCAAACCAAAATCACCTACTCGACAAAACCCTTCATTCAAAGATCGTCTAGCATCATATGTGCCATTACCTTCGGGTTCACCATCGATATCAAACACATTTATTCACAGATACCTTTTGTCTCAACCTTCAGATTCGAGTTCCAGGTCAATACCCAAATCATCCCCTACATCAACTTCACCGCATCAGTCATCAAATCCTTACTTTTTAAGGTCCACACCATTGTCTATTCTTCAATCATTGAATTCGTACTTCTCAACACCTTCATCATCACTCCAGCCATTTCAATCACCATCTGTTCTCCAAGCATTGAATCCATATTTTTCAAACACATCTCCACCTCCTCCGAAATATTCTCTTTCGCAGACACTATTCCACAGCCCGTCAGTTTCCCCACAGCCTACCAACCAAGATTCGATGGACTACGATTACTTCCAAGCTGCACGGTCTAAAAGATCATCCTCACCACCAAGGCTCCATCCATTAAAGTCCCCTCTTCCGCCGCCGCCACCACCTCCACCTCAGAACAACATTGAATCCCCATCAGCAACAATCTTTCCATATGGTGGTCAACCTTCTTCAAATATTCCATGGGATAAGCCAAAATTCACATCACCATCTCCCAAAGCAGATTATCTGCAGTTTATTCCTTCTCCCAAGTCGGCTCTCAAAAGTAAGCTTCAACCAAAAGCACCCGAGAGGGAGCCCCCACCCACCCCGCCAACTCATCCTGCTCCCTCACCTCATTACCATATCCCTTTGCCTTCCCGCCCTCCTTCACCTAACAGAGAAGAAAAGCAAAAACAACCTCAACCTTCCCGCATTCCGTCCTCTTACGTATACTACCCTCAGCCATCAAAATCATTTTCCGATCCTCTAGCTGCATCTTCTCTTCCAACACCAGATCCTACACCCCCTCTCCCCTTCACAGGGCCTTCCAAAAGAACATCATCAAATCATCACGCAACAACTACTTCAAAACAATCATACTACTCTTCTCACTCTCCTCCCCCAACAGGATCTTCCCTCCAAGGCACAATTGCAGTTCCTTCGGTTGCACACGAGATGCTACCAAAAGATTTCTTAGCCTATCGAACAGTGAGACAGCTTATAGAGCTTCAAGGTTGGGAAATGAACCAGGGAGAATGGCGATCTATACGGGAGGTGTTGAAAAGATGCAAAAGGGGGGAGAATGGTGCAAGGGGTAATATCGAGGTACTTGCTAAGGGAGTTGTTGAGTTGGAAAACAGCGTTGAGATGAGTTGAGATATAAGGGATATAGGTATTTATCATCTGTACAAGCGAGATGGGTTGAAATGGGGAGGTTATCTACATATATGGAGTTGAATGGATTGTCTTGTGATGAATAGGATCAGATGAGGGATCAGGAAAATATAGAAACGCCGGTGTTATACATGTCGCAAACGGCAAGAGCGGGGGTGATCAAGAAGTTTAGGATACCTGTTGAATATCAAGGATACCCCAGGGAGTGAATAGAATAGAGCAAAATAGATTTCAATTTCAATCACTATCAAAAGTTGAGAGCCCATGAATGTGAATTACAACCATATCAATACTCAATCACCACCTATAGAAGTGTCTTATAGCATGATCAAATCATATTCTACTCACAATGACTAAAGTAGAGTTACACTACCTTCTCCTCCACATGAATAGGTACTATTTCAACATCTATAGATTCACAAGTAATGAATCTCCCCATGAATTCATTCAGATGAATAACACAACCCAAAAGAACTTGATTCTTCTATCTATTCCATTTCTCATCCTTATTCTCTCCTCAGCTCATCCTATTCACAAATCATCGCTTCCATTCATCCAGAAGAATGCCACATCACATCGTATCATATGATATCCAATACAAATACATAAGTTCTACCCATACGAGAATATTTTCTCTATTTAATAACTCATCTCCATCTTCATCTTCATCTTGTTTAACATCTTTCTTGACCTCTACATGTACATGTAAAACATAATAGTATCTATCATACCGTACCACATATTCTGCTCTTCTAGAGATTTTCCTACGGATATCCATACCAATCTTATATTGTATCTACTTCTGATATATCTACCACTATCTACTATCGCATTTCCTTTTAGAGGAAAAATATTCATTTATTTCACTTTCACCCCTCTCCTTTCTCAATCCCCCCCCTTATATCCCAAAATGCCATCTCCATCTCCACCTCCACCACCACCCAAAGACCCTCAACCCTCCCCCTCACCTCCTCACCGCAAACCCAAACCCAAACCCCCTCATCGCGCCACTGAAACCGAAGAAGAAAGAGCCGCTCGCCACCGCGCTCACCATGAGAAGCGTCGACAAGCCAGAAGACTAGCTCGTCAGTACGAAGATTCCGAGGGCGGGCGCGAAGAGAAGAAGAAAGAGAGAGATGATAGGAGAAAGACGGAAAAAACTGATAAAGAAGAAAAACAGGGACTTTTCAGCAAGAGTCGAAAGAGTATTGGAAGGGGCATTATGGCATTGGGGAAGTGTGTAGCGGGGAATGGGGATGCAGATGCGGAGGAGAAGGGAAAGGGGAAGAGAGAGGTGAAAAAGGATGTTGGTGATGGTGGGAAAGCTGAGGATGAGGAATATAGGAGGAGAAGACGAAGAAGACGTAGTAGTGTGGGGGTAGATGAATGTGATTGTGAGGAGAAGAGAAATGGAGAGAAAGATAGAGAGGACAGCGAGAGGAAAGTTCGATTTGATGCTAAATCACTTGTTCCTGAAGACAGACCACGAACCGAGCGAAATGAGGGAGAACCTCGTAAATCTACACAGCTAGCCAAATCATCACCCTCTCCCCCTGCTAGAAATAAAACTGCATCTCCCACAGCAAAAGAAAAAGAAATCGAAGAACGCAATCTCATCGAAGCAAGAAAGTTGCACATTGCCCAACGAGCCCGTGAAGAACGCACTAAAGCCGAACAAGAAAGAATGGCCCAGATTCTCTCGGTCGAGATAATTCAAAAGCAGAAAGAAGAACGTGATCGTATCACACGAGAGAAAGCTTTACTCCAGCGGGAAAAAGAAAAGGAGAGAGAAAAACAAGGAAACATCCGTCGAGAATCCATCCGTAAAGCCACCGAAGAGCGAGTTGCACGCGAGAAAAACGAACGTGCAGAAAAAGAACACCAAGCACAGCTTTTACGAGAAGAACAGATTCGTCAAGAAAGAGAGCTACAAAACCAACGAGAACGAGAACGAGAACTACAAAAAGAACGAGAAAAAATCCTCCAAGAACGTAAACGACAAGAAGCTCAGCGTCTCCAACAACAAAAACAACAAGAAGAACTCGAAGCCCAGCGACAACGTCAAGCCGAAACCGCTCGTCTCCTCAAACTCAAAGAACAGAAGCTCCAAGCCCAGCGCGCTCAAGAAGCAGAAATCGCAGCCGCAGCTGCAGCCGCTCGAAGAAAGGCTGATGAAAGAGCAAAAGCAGACGCAGAAGCAAAAGCGAAAGCAGAAAAAGAAGCAAAAGCAAGAAAAGAGCAACTAGCCGCACAAAACCACCTCGCGGCCCAACGCCTCGCGCTCGAGCGCGTTAAAGCCCAAGCCCAAGCTGCCGCCAAAAAGCCCCCTCCCCCCGCACTAACCCCTACCAACCTCCTCGCCGTACCTCAACAACCCCCCAAATGTATCGGCAACATGGAGCGTACCATCCTCGAAGGATACGTACCGATGACTTCCGCAGAACTTCTAGCGCGGGATATCGCGCTTGGAGTGGTGGTGCCGCCGAGACCGGTGAGGTGTATTGGAAATATGGAGAGGACGATTTTGGAGGGGTATGTACCAATGAGTGAGGAGGAGATGAGGAAGAAGGAGGGGAGGTGATAGGTGTAGAGGGAGACGGGGCGAGGTGAAGTTGTTGAGGATGAGGAGAAAGGAAGGAAGGAAGGGAGGAAGACAGAGGGGAGGTGTTGTTATTTAGCCTAAATATTAAATTTCAAATATGCAAAATGTTGAGATCAACCGCATACTCATGATACCTAGATATCTCTTGTTTGGTGACAATTCGATTGAATGGTATCTTTGCCTTCATGCCTATAATATACCTATGCATACTCCTCAAGACGCCTATATCCACCTAGTCCACGACCAAAATGCTTAACACCGGACCTCAATCCCACCCCTACTAACCGTCAAATATTTAACCCCCTTGTAAGGTTTAACTCCCTCGCCAATTCCTCTACTCTTTCTCGTATCGACTGTTAAACTTTCCACTTTAATACCACTTGCCAGCCACCCTTTAACCGAGAAACTAATTGCTGCAGAACTAGGCATTAGAATTTTATTCTGCGCTACTTTCCTCGCATCTTTTCCTTCGCTATTTGAAGTATTTTCAACCTTAGCTTTCTCTGGGGCGCTTTGATATGTTTCTGTGTCATAGTCGTATTCACCATCGAGTCTGAAACCATGTCCATCATATTCTTCTTCGGTTGACAACGGCCCCACGACTGTACATCGTAATGTAGCTCCACCTGCTACCGCATCTCTAGCTGGTATATGCCATTCCAGATTCTTTTCACCAGGATTATATGTTGTATCGCCCCTACTTGCTTTGATTTCCGAAAGATTCCGTACATCAGCTGGTAATGGCACTGTGACTACTAAGTCTTCGATAATGGGTGATGTACTGTTACCAGTACTGCCACCGAAATTCCCACCGAGGCCGCCGCTAAATTGTGATGCAGCTCTGCTTAACTGTCCTGCTGCATTGCTGTTGTTTCTCGAACTCGAACCTGAAGATATGGAAGAGTTACCCTGGCCAGAAACTTTGACAATGAATAACCGAACCTCGAAATCGGATCCAGTAGGACCAAGACTAGTTTTGACTTCAATATTGACAGGTAGTTTTAAATGAGATGCATTAGTAGTACCGGATTTTCCACCCGTGGAGGGAAGTAAATCAACTTCATATCCAGCTAAAACAAATCGTCCATCAGGCGGTACAAAGCTCAACTCCCCTGGCTTTTCTCTCCATCTCGCTAATCTGACACATGGGTGAAATACTGGCAATTCCATAACACTGCTAACGTTTTGTCTACCAGATGGTGTGGACAAATTCAAGAGTAGGTCTGGTACTCCAGAGATTTTGGATGTAAAAGCAATAGTTCCATTCGCAAACGCAGCCAATGGACGACCAGACGGCGCAAGAGTAACAGTAAGTGTTTCAACCAGATCCACATATAATTCATTCGAAGTATGTCGTACATTTGCTCTTCTCCATGGTAAAGCCGGTGTGTTCGCTGCGAGTGATCCTGTAGACGATAATCCAGACATGCCAGAACTAGAAGGAGTTGCAAAGCCAGGTTTCCTATAATAGACAGCTTAGCTATGTTCCGAAACTTCAATTGCGTCCCAGGAAGATCGATTTACGAACCCAGGAATATTAATACCCCCCAAGAACTTCCCAATCCACCCCTCCACCTCTACCATATCCCGTAACGCATTAGGTTCCGTCGAGCTCACCGTGCCCGCATCACACATCTCATTCAGTAACTGAGCCACTACATCATAGCTACTCTCTATCTTTTGCGCCAATAGCGGCGCACCCACGAATTCCTCTAATACATCGATAACACGGTGTAAGAATTCGAGAGCGAGAAGAGGTTCGATTTCCGAGGAGGATGTGAGACAGAATAGTAGATTTGAATGAACGAGATTAAAGAGTAGAGTAGGTGGGGATGTGTTTGGGAGATATATTAGACTTGGTCTTGGAGCTGGATGAGCGAGGTAGAGAGGGAGGAGTTGTGTGGAGGAGAGTGGGCGCGAAGTGTAGGTATTTTGGAGCAAAGGTCGACTGTGTAGACGATTAGTACGGAAGAGTGAGGGAGCAGAGAACGAGCGAATCCGTGAAGCAAATAGTATTTCTGGTGGGATTACTCACTTGTGTTCATCATAAATATACAAGGCCTCAATAGCACCATTCATGATTTCTATTTTAAAATAATATCAAGACATTTGCATTTGGTTTGTAACTTGCAGCTTGAACAATGATGAATGCATGCTTGCGAACTTGCGGGGCGGCCCGCAGCGGAAAAGCGGCCGCTTCTATTTCTCAAGGTCATCAAGCTTCAAAAATAACTACACGAGTGTGACGAACAGTAGCAAGAACATTCACAATGGCACCGAATTCAGCAAAAAGTCTCGATCGGCAGGAAAGACTCACAGATGTGCTAAAAAGAGATGAGGCACAATGGAAAGATGACTGTTTACCGTGTCGACTTACTGGTATATTTCCCGTCTGTCATAATGCACCCCCTCATTTCCTACCCCAATTCTCCTTTTCCCCTTATTGTTAATTCTCCCTTTACATCACGAATCTGCCAGGCTCCTATCTATGCAGCAAAAACTAACACTTCCTCAGGATCATTCGCATTTATCGGCCTTGGAATCTACAGTTACTTCTCCGGGCAATCACAACTAAAAGCCCAAGAAGCGAAGATTTTAAAGAGCAAATCTATGTTTGGTATGAAGAGTCGGCAAACTGGCATCACTGGTATTGCATTGACACTGGTTGGAATGGGACTCTGGAGACTGAAAAATTAAGTGCCTCTGGCCATGGGACGAGAGAATCTTATGAATGAGGCATGGCGTTTAGGAGTTTCGAAATTCTACTCACTCGGAATACGATGATGTCACGAGAAAAGTTGTATCGAGTGAGTAAAGGAAGAAAAAATATATGTTCCATGAATCGCACAGTGGTATCTACAATAACAATACTATACAAGTGATGAACGCTCGATGGCTCGCTCAAGCATACTCCGCAACAGCCTGTCCTTCGCCGGCCTCTTTCGTCTCCCAATGTCTTTTCTCCTTTCGCAATTGCGTCTTTACAAAAGCCATAGTGATGCAAACCCAAACGAAACCGAAACAATATGGCAATCCCCAGCCGACTCCGAAACCAACATTCTCGGGCAAAGTCATTATGATGACTGTTGCTATAATGGCAATGCATACGAGACCAATACCCCAAAACCACGTTAGAACCATCATCATACGTCGAAATATAGGGCTGACTTCGTATCGTCTCAATACATTGCTTCGATATACGACTCCTCCTTGGCCTTCAACTCCGCCAGCATCCTCGATGATGGCCAATAACGCTGGACGCCAAAGTTTTCCCTTCTCTGTCGATGACATGTTGAATGGCAGTGGCTTCTTTCGCATTGTTTGAACCGCAGAGAATATGAACATGAATCCAAACCAATAGCATATCGTAGGGGAAGGCATAGCACATAAGCGCACCCATGGGTGGTGTGGAATAGTTCCTATGATAAGTTCGAGTTCTACGAAAGTGATAGCGATCATGAAGTTGATGTGGAGGAATTCAAGCTGGAAGATTGTTAGCGACAAATTAAAACCAAAGGGATCACTTGTGCAGCTCACCATTCCCCATTTAGTCCATCCTACCGGTCGCCATCTCGGCGCCGTTTTGGCACGGAAGAGTTTCAGGGATCGGAAACCATAATGTGAGAAACTGATCATTCCATATACACTTGTTATGATAGCGAAAACTAATTGTATACGATTAGAACTGGTGGAACATTTTGTAGGGCGAAGAAATAGGTCTTACTATCTTGTAACTCGATGTTTGTTCCAAAACTCAAGGCATAGTAATATGTAATCGGCAGACACGCCAGGTCAAGCGTTACGATAATGAGTCCAACCCATAATATCGTTTTCCTCCTTCGATGTGGTGTATGTAAGGGAGGTAACGGCTCTCTTAAGCCAAATGTTTGTGAAGGCGTTAAATTTTCACTTGGTGTGTGAAGATTGTGTGTTGATGATTCCGGCGGCTGAAGGTGTGGCGTGTTTGTGTTTAAGTCGTCTCGTGTATTCCTCCTCTCTTCTAAGTCCTGTAATTGTGTAGTTGATTCTTCATGATGATGTCCATCTAAATGAGTATGAAGTTCGCTCTCTTTTATCTCCTCGTCTTTGAATGCATTAAACTCGGGCATGTTGGTGAAAATCGATTATGCACTTTCCATGAATTCCTATCATTTGCTGGAAGGTCCAAAAAAGCAAAACAGTACGAACGACAATGAACAAATGAGAGAATTGTCAAGTTACGATTCACAGATCCTGGAAAAGTATAAATGGTTGTTATAAACTGTGTGTATGATGAAAAGATTGAAAGAGAAGAACTACAGAGTATTTGATACGTGGAGAGTATTGTTACAACAGGAGAGTAACATTTCTTCTAATTGGTATGAATCATGATTCATGATCACATCACATAGTATCAGGTATTGGATGGCTTTGACATATGCTGGGTGATGATGTAATTGTAGATCCTCCATTAAAAAGAAGTGGTTTTCCCCTCGGATTCTATAGAAAATCATCGCTTTGATTGGTGCTCTCATTTGGGGAACCATTTAACCGCAGACCAAGCCTTCTCAAAAACAAGACTTTCAGCCTTGGCTAAAATTGGTTCTGCAAAGAGTCTCGCTAAGAAAAGAAAAACGAGTTTCTCTAGAACTTTAGAAGCTTGGATTGGTTTGAAGTATCAATATCCACAGCCTCGTTCAGTGTATCAAGAAAAATATCCCAAATTGTCTATTTACATCATGGCAATTACTATTATCGCACCAGTTTCTGCTGCGGTACCCTATCACACTGAAGATGAGTCTGATCATTCTGATGATGGAGGGGTTGATATAGAAGGGGATCTTGATATGCAACTGTCCAAACGGGCCAAGCATCAAAATATCGTTACTCCTGGTGAAGTAATCACAGATGATCCGCAATGGATGAGGTACAACCATTTCTCACTACTTGCGGTATTTTCAACTATAAAGCATAGCTAACCATCCTCTCAGAGGTCATGG